CAACAATTTGAGTGAAAAAGAAATTTTAGTTCAAAACAAAAGATAAACAGAGGATAGATAAATCTTATGCAGAAACATTCCAAATTTATATAGTTATTCATCTTATGAAGGCAGAAGATAGCTCTCTGGTTTTTGAGTGTGGTCTGTGTGTAATAAGGAAAAGGAGAAAAAAAAGAGCAATTTAACTGTGAAGAGACCTGACAAACTGGGCAGGTCAAGGTTAACGTCAGCATTGCTAAGCCATCTTGATAGAATGTACCCATGATATTATGTGATGAGAATGGTATTTTTCCCTTGTGGTCTTCCTCCTAACAACCAGTGAACCCAGTCATGAGATGTCAGAAATCCCAGTTATCTCTCCAAGTTCAACAAAATACCTTACCACGCTGGAAGCTTTACCTGCATCCTCTGATTCAGTGAACTTTCTTATGAACCTTTTATGAACCCGTGCCACCAATAATTGCCTTAATCTAAGTGAGATTGTAGAAAAAAGGATTTAAAGGAATGCTCATTGTGATTGAGTTGGTTGGTTAAACTGTGGTTTGGGAATGTTAATATTCTAAATGGAGTGCTGGTTTGTTTCCTGGCTTTTTTTCCCCCCTGAGAGCTTCCTTAGTATAGACTATCATAAATATATTTTTTAAAAATAGTATTGTGGGGCCCGGCGTGGTGGCGCAGTGGTTAAGGTCCTTACCTTGCACGCCCGGGATCCCATATGGGCGCCGGTTCTATCCCGGCGGCCCCTCTTTCCATCCAGCTCCCCGCTTGTGGCCTGGGAAAGCAGTCGAGGACGGCCCAAAGCTTTGGGACCCTGCACCCATGTGGGAGACCCAGAAGAGGCTCCTGGCTTTGGATTGGCATAGCATCAACCGAGGCGCTCACTTGGGGAGTGAATCATTGGACGGAAGATCTTCCTCTCTGTCTCTCCTCTCTGTATATCTGCCTTTCCAATAAAAATAAAATAAATCTTTAAAAAAAAATAGTATTGTGGTACAGCTGGTTGAGTTACTGCCTGCAACATCAGCATCTCACTTGGGGCACTGGCTATTCCTCTTCCAGTTCAGCTCCCTACTAATGTGCCAGGATAAGCAGTAGAAGATGATCCAAGATCCAAGTATATGAGTCTGTATACTCGCCTGGTATCATGGAAGAGGCTCCTGGCTCCTGGGATTTTGCGTAATTCAGCCCTGACCATTGCGACCATTTGGGGAGTGAGCTAGTGGGTGAAGATCTGTCTATCTTGTCCTCTCTCTAATTCTGCCTTTCAAATAAAATGTTAAAAACATTTTTAAAGGATTTAAAAATAGCTGTAATTATTTTGGTCCTGGAAATAGGTAACTTAAATTAGGCTTGACTCTAATGTTTATGGTGTAGTTTATAATAAATCTTTATGCCTGAACTTCAATTTTCTCATCTCTAAAATGTAGATAATGCTACTGTTCACTTCATAGGATGGCTGTTGTACACTCACACATGGTAAATACTTGATGAATATTATCCAATATTTTTATTCCTTACTGAAATGGCATTTTTATTAAAAGTACTATTTATAAACGGGCTTTTAGTCTTAACAGTGTATTTAATCCCCCCTCTTTGGACAAACTACATGAGATGAAAGAAGCCCGAGTCCTTCCACATAGGAACCAACGTCATCAGAACAACAGCCAGGAACCATGATCGGTCATCAGAATCAGAAGAACAATAAACTTCCTTCGGGACATGGGAGAGGAGCCTTCTCCAGTCCTTGCCCAGTTCCAGCTCTGGGCCTCCACCCTCTATAATGACCAACAAGGTTGCTCTAGAACCCCCTCCCCCCAACACACACACACTCACATACACGCACAAATAGGAATAGATAAGCAGAGAACAATAAAGAAAGATAGGTCATCAAGGACTCACACATAGAACACAAAGAACAAGTACTCCTCACCAAGGTATAAGAGATTTCTCTGCACACCGCCCCCCCAAACCTGTTATGCACCTCAATTGTTAAAATGTCATTGAAATAGTCGCAGGAGGTTGTTAAGAACTTACATATAATTTTAACATATTGTTTACTCAATACTATGTCAATTAACTCCATAACGATATATATTGTTGCTGCTGGGGCTTTTAATTGATTGGGATCTTGCTCTCTTGGCCATACCTTCAGATCAGGGAAGGTCTCCCCAAGAAGCGGATGAACTTATCTGGAGAATAAGATGCTGGACTCTATGCTTGGTATATGCTTGCGATGAAGGAGTCTCAACTGATCTTGAACTGAGGTCTCACAACAGGGTGGAGGAGTCCACCATGGGGGGAGGGGAGGGGGAGTCCCAGTACCTATGGAACTGTATCTCGTAATACAATGTAACCAATAATTTAAAAAAATAAATAAAAAAACCAGTGTATTTAGAAGATATTAAGTATAGGTAATTTCTAATGGCTGTATAATAACTCAATATGTTCTTTATATTTCATTTTCATTTCATGTTTAGGAGTTAGAGTAGAGATTTTTGTTTTTTTGGAACAGAGGGATTTAAATTGTCATGTGCCAATGTCAGGAGGGTGCACATTAGACATTTTGAAAACACTGAGCCATTTTGCTGTAAATTGCATAGCAATGTTATTTTGAACTTTGGGTTTATTTTATAATGCTTGTATTTCAAACAACATGCAGAAAATTCTTACCATTCAAAATTAGACTGCAGTTTTTGAGTTGTAAGAAGAATATTACTAAATTTTTCTCTGTGGAGCTTAGGAAGTCAGGATGTCTGAATGTTTTTTTTTGTTGTTTCAAGCAGCCTCATTCCAATCAGCAGTGTAATTGGAATGCAGCTCCAGTCTGGAGGAGGGAGGGGGCTTTTTGGCAGAGGGATATGAAGCAGTTGGGCGCTTTCTTCAGATGAAGTATAGACAGCCATTCCTTAGGAATACGGTAAGAACAGCACAGTGTTGTGTGTCTGCAGCTGGGCTGTAGTCATAGTATCTACATGGTGTGGTACACATGGTGTGGTACACATAGGTAATTCCAGCCAGAAAAAGGAAAGTATTGACAAGTGAAAATAGTAATAATATTTGTTGCCATCTGTACTTCTGTAAATCATTTTCTCCAGTTGCTGCCGCAAATAAAATACACGAAAAGAGATTGTTGAAAATTTAAAATCATTCCTTGAGAAAACAACTGCAGAAGACATTTGTGAAATAACGCTTGGGTTATGCCTGAGAACAAAGGGCCATGTCTTGTCTTTGTGTCTGCAGAATATATCTTAGCACTTAGCACAAATCAAATGGTTAGGAAATGTTGAATGAAAGAGTAAATGGGTCTACTTACAGCCACGTGAAATAGAGTGGCATCGCAACATATCAGCGTGACTGCCTGGGTTTATTTGGATCATCTTTTCTGAAACCACGTATCTGTAAGAAGGCCTGGGTAGAACAGAGAAAGCCAGGGTTGGGGAGGGTATACTTAAGTGCTTTGAAGGATTTTGAGAAGGATGGTTACATGATCAAAGTGGCATAACAGCTTAATCTAGTACACATCTAGAGGCTTTCTGAGACACTGTCCCTAGTAATCATGGTACTGTGATAGGATAGAATGTATTAGTATATTGCGACATTTGCAGTTAGCATTAATCAAAACTGACCTGTGGCTACTTAAATTTCTGGACTAAATGTAAAGTTTTGTTTTTTGCAAAATTTTATTGAAAACCAATTGAATTAATGTACTTAAGATTTCTGTGCTTTAATATATATGCTACAACAGAAAGTTGATTGAATGTTAAAGAGACTGAAAAACTGGTAGCTATATAAAAGAAACTCTATACTGCTTATTAATTTTTTTAAAGATAGGGACTGATGCTGTGGTACTAAAAAGCCACCATCTGTGGTGCGGGCTTCCCATTTGGGTGCCAGTTCAAGGACTCCACTTCCAGTCCAGCTCCCTACTGATAACGCCTGGGAAAGCTCCCTACTGATAACGCCCAGTCCTTGGGCTCCTGTACCACATGGGAGACCTGGAGGAAGCTCTTGGCTGTCCAAATGGCTGTAGTGGCAGAGCCAGCCCAGACCAAAGCCTAAGCCTGGAATTCTATTAGGGTCTGCAGCACTTGGGCCATCTTCCAATGCTTCCCCAGGAACAGTGGCAGGGAACTAGATCAGAAGCAGAGCACCTGGTACTGGAGCTTATGCTTGTATATGGGACACCTGCTACCATAATGTGAGCTCTTTTTCTCCTTATTCTTAGGTTGGCCTTGTTCATTTTGCAAGGTTCTTTTACACACACACACACACACACACACACACACACACACACACACACACACACCCCTTGTCTTTTAGAAATGTCTACAAAATAAAAATGAAACTTTCTCCCACGCTGCCACTCCTTCCTAGCCCCACAATTCCCAATCTTCTACTTTTTGTAGGTTCTGTTATAAGCAGTGATACATTAATTTCCTTCTAATATACATTGTAATATTATATACACATGTGCTAGGACATGTACTAGGGTTGATTTAGGGAAAGGTAGTTTCTTCTGTCCTGTGTCTGATATTTACATGGGAACAGAACATTGCTTTTTAAATAATCTCACCTCTGTCAAGAAAACCTTAATTTATCATATTGGTGATCCTCTTCAGTATAAAAGTATTTTATCCTTAACATAGATATGGCCCCTAATTAAATATGTAAAGATTGTCAAAAATATAGTAAAAAAAGAAAAAAAAAGCCCATAGATATGGCAACCTGAACTTCTATCTCCTCCTCAGTGCTTTTTACCCATTGCTGCTTAGTTTCTCTGAGACTGGATCTTGCTGGAAGATCAGAAGCTTTCTTGCCCTCAGCTGTTGGCTCTGATCATCCAGAAAGTTGCAGTGTTCCAGCTGTCTTTTGTGATTATATCTCATACCTTGCTGTATTCAGCAAGTTTAATCATCCATTCCTGTTCCCGGGGTTGGAAAATGAAATAATGCAGTCTTACTGTTTTAATTTTTCCCATGTATTTTTTGTTTCTTTTACAGTACTCTGTGCAAAAAACTTGGTGAAAAAGGATTTTTTCCGTAAGTAAACTAACTTTAAATACACATGTTGTATATGCTGTGTAGGTTATTTTTGGGTGGCATTTTCAGAAGTGTCTGGTTTTAGAGATTTCTTTATTCAGAAATTCACTGTTTTATGAATGCTTTTGTTCTGAAATTTATCTTAAAAATTTCCTACTTTTTAGACAGCCCTGTCCCCTTTATCGATCTACCACGTACTTAGGTGCATGTACAGTTGTGTGCATATTGAACCCTTAGTGTGTGTTGAAGGTATGTATAACACTACATTACCAGAACGTTTCAGGAGGTTTTAAAGATTTACTTTATTTTTATGATAGAGAGAGATAGAGTGGAAGATCCTCTGTCTGTTGATTCACTCCCCAACTAACCACAACGGCTGGAGCTGTGCGGTTCCGAAACCAGGAGTCAGGAACTTCCTTCACGTCTCCCACGCAGGTGCAGGGTCCCAAAGCCTTGGACTGTCCTCGACTGCTTTCCCAGGCCACAAGCATGGACCTGGATGGGAATTGGGATTAGAACTGGCGCCCATATGGAATTCCGGCGCGTTCAAGGCGAGGACTTTAGCCACTAGGTTACCGCTCCAGGCCCCAGAGTAGCTCTCTTAACTATTAGTTCTTTTCTCTTTCATGTGGTTTTTCCTTATCCGGGGATTTCTCATTCAGCTGTTTGATTATTACAAAGTCTTCATAAATGGTCCCTGCCTCTACCCTTTCTTTGTCCTAGTCTGTCTTGACAACCACCGGTAGATTAATGACTGGATTTATAGTCAGCATCAGGAACCAAAATGACTCCCTATTATGTAGAGTCATTCTAAGCCCTCTTTTCTGAGTCTCAACTCTCAGGCTGGATCAGTTGTGTCTGTGCTCAGGTCTTTTATGCTGAAGTGCAGAAGCTTTGATGACCCCTCAAAGCCCTTCACATACTGTTGTGCCTTCCTTGGCACTCTTGTTGCTGGGAAAGTTCCTTCCCCTGTGTCCTTTCCAGCCCAGCTGAGTCCGCTCCCCTCCCCAAGCCTGTCTGCATTGTTCTGAGCTCTCGCTGTGCTCATTGTTAAACTCAGGGTAACTGAAAGGTGCAGTGCAGCGCAGTGGTTCAGAGCAGGAAGTCTAGAGCCAGACTTCACATCCGCAGCTTTAGAACCCGAACTTTGGACCCTGACTATGCCACTGGTTGCTGTGTGAACTGGAGCTAACAACCCCTATGTGCCTCAGTTTCCTTGTCATTAACATAGGAACAATAATGTTATCCATCTTAGGGGGTTATTGTGAAGATATTGATAAGACATTTACTACAGAACCTGACATAGTGTTAACTATTGTAACCACTATAGCTGGGCACTTGTTTAATTTCAGCTTGATTTTGTTTCATTTTCATGTATAGGATTTTTAATCTCCCTAATTGGCTGGTTATTTTCCTTATGGCAGAGTATTACTAATTTTTTTTCTTCTTCATCATACATAGTAACTGTTCAGTAAAATTGCATGGCTGTTTATACTCCATTCTTCTGTGTAAAACCCTTTATGAACTGTTTGTTTAAATGAATTGCTGAGGGGTTATTTGGAAGGAGAGCAGTGAGCATTTCCAACCTTCACCTTTCTGGGGACAAAAGACTGGCAACACTATGAAAAAACTTACATGTTGTGAGGTAATCTCTAGATTTTGACAGTTGAGTATTTTTTGAGACAGAAACAAGAAAAAATATGATTTTGATATTTAGGATAGCAGTGAATTTAATGTTTGATTTTAAATGGTCTGATAAATTTCTGGTTAAAAGCTGAAATTGTCAAAGAGAATTAAAGAATGGAATTATCTTTTGTAGCAAATAGTGATCTCTATGTAATTATTCATGCATCTTAAATGCCAGAATATTCTGAAGTTTAAAAAAGCAATTTGCCCTTTCTTCACAGGACTTCCTGACCCGTTTGCTAAGGTGGTGGTTGATGGATCTGGGCAGTGCCATTCTACAGATACTGTAAAGAATACACTTGATCCGAAGTGGAATCAGCATTATGATCTGTAGGTTTAAATGATTAATTTGAAATGAAACCTAGAATTAATGTTATTTGATATAGTCTTCGATAAGTTCACAGAAAATGATCTGAGTTTTATCTGTGGTGTAATTTGGTCTTTACAGAAGGGGTACAGAACTCAATGGAAAAATGCTTTGGCTTATTAGTAGTTGGTTTTGAAAGATAAGATGCCTCCAGAAAGCCTATGAATTACAAAATAAAACTGGTTCACAAAATAGTCTCCCAGCTCCTCAGCCTCAGTTAAATAAAGGTATTAATTTACCTTAGGGGCAACTGGAAATTTAACACTAGACATTGGAATTATTTCCATGTGAATAGCTTTCTTTCTTTTTTTTTTTAAAGATTTATTTTTATTATTTTTTTACTGGAAAGGTAGATATACAGAGAGGAGAGACAGAGAGGAAGATCTTCCGTCTGATGATTCACTCCCCAAGTGAGCGCAACGGGCCGATGCTATGCCAATCCGAAGCCAGGAGACTCTTCCGGGTCTCCCACGCGGGTGCAGGGTCCCAAAGCCTTGGGCTGTCCTCGACTGCTTTCCCGGGCCACAGGCAGGGAGCTGGATGGGAACTGGGGCTGCCGGGATAGAACCGGTGCCCATATGGGATCCTGGGCGTGCAAGGCGAGGACCTTTAACCACTTGCGCCACCGCACCGGGCCCGAATAGCTTTCTTTTAAATTATTTTTAGTCATAAGATACAGGTGACTTTTTAAAAAGGCAAATGGTACTATAAGATTTTTATTGTTTTTAGAAAATCCTTATTTATGGACTTGGCATGATGGCTGAATTGGCTAATCCTCTTTCTGCAAGTGTTGGGATCCCATATGGGTACTAGTTCAAATCCTGGCTGCTCTACTTCCCATTTAGTTCCCTGCTTGGGTCCTGGAAAAGCAGTGGAGAATGGCCTTAAGTTGTGGGACCCTGTACCTGTACGGGAGACTAGGAGGAAGCTCCTGGCTCCTGCCTTTGGATCAGCTTAGCTCTGGCCGTTGCAACCAGTTGGGGAGCCAATGAATGGAAGATCTTTCGCTCTCTGCCTCTCCTCTCTCTCCCCCTCTCTAAGTTTGCCTTTTCAGTAAAAAAATAAATAAATTTTCCCCTAATATTTATTTTTTTTAATTGGAAAGGCAGATCAGATTTATGGAGAGCAAGAGAGAAAGCTCTTCTTTCCACTGGTTCACTCCCCAAATGGCTGCTTCATTCAGCCAGAACTGAGTTGATCTGAAGCCAGGAGCTTCCTCCAGGTCTCCACGAGGTGCAGGGTCCCAAGGCTTTGGGCCATCCTCTGTTGCTTTCCCAGTCCACAAGCAGGGAGTTGGAAGGGAAGTAGAGCAGCCATATGGGATCCAGGCACTTGCAAAGTAAGGTTTTAGCCACTGAGCCATCACACGGGACCCAAAAATAAATTTACAAAACAAAATTTATCTGAAAGGTAGTGAGGGAGGAACACAAAGAGAAGCAGAGACAAACCCTTCTGTTTACTTGCTCACTTCCCAAATAGCTGCGCCAGCTGGGACTGGGCCAGACCGAAGTTCTGCTTTCCCACCTGGTGGCAGAGGCCCAAGCACCTGAACCATCTTGTGCTCTTTTCTTAGGTACATTAGCAGGGAACTGTATTAAAAGTGGAACAGCTAGGACTTGAACCCATGCCCATATGTGTTGCCAGCATTGCAGATGGTGGTTTACGTAGCTGTCACAATGCCATCCCCATGTTTTTGTATCTGAAGTAAATAACTATTTGTCACTTGTCAGTTTTTTTTTTATCACATTGATCAGTGCTCACACTGAACATCTCCTTGCTATGTGTTAAATCATGTCAGGGTTCCATTTGCTTTTTCTTCTTGCAGACACATTATTTGGAGCCTCTGTCCTCTTTCCCGAACCAGTGTGATGTGACCTCTAAGACCTGGGACTTGTCTTTATTATTTTTGGGGATAATTTCCTTTGTCTTTTTCTAAGTCCAGTGATTTTCAGTTTTTGTTTGTTTACTTCCCAGTTTGATAGTCTATCTTCATTGTTATTTTGAAAAAAGAATACAAAGATAGAAACTTTTTTTTTTATGACTTATTTTTATTATTTTTTTCATTGGAAAGGCGGATATACAGAGAGGAGAGACAGAGAGGAAGATCTTCCGTCCAATGATTCACTCCCCAAGTGAGCGCAACGGGCCGATACTATGCCGATCCAAAGCCAGGAGCCTCTTCCAGGTCTCCCACAGGGTGCAGGTTCCCAAAGCTTTGGGCCGTCCTCGACTGCTTTCCCGGGCCACAGGCAGGGAGCTGGAAGGGAAGCGGGGCTGCTGGGATTAGAACCGGCGTCCATATGGGATCCCGGGCGTGCAAGGCAAGGACCTTTAACCACTTGCGCCACTGCGCTGGGCCCAAACCTTTTTTTTTTTATGTTACTTGGTTGATAATTTGCCTAAGTATAGACTTTTAGATAAAGCACCATTTTCTTCAAAGTTTGAATATGTTAGTCTGTTATCTTCTAGATCATGATCAGCTTGTCTAAATAGGAGTGGGAGCCACAGATGGGAACGCATCTGCCACATTTAAAGTGGGCAGCAAGTTCCTGTGGCTTATGGCCAGTGCACGTTTAGGTTGTTGCTTGTTGGTGTCCTGATTTCGGTCCTTCACTTCAGTGGCAGGGAATAAGATTTTGTTACCCCTCTGTCACTAGTAGTTGTTGTTGTATTTCAAAATTATAACCTCCCCAGTGAGAATAAAGTTCTGATTTGCATTTTCCTAAGGACAAGTGATATTGATTATCTTTTCATGTACTGTTTTTTTTTCTTGTTTAAGAATTTATGTTTAACTGGCCACCTGAGCTTTTCTTTTTTTTTTTTTTTTTCTTTTCCAATTGTACGTGGTCAGGGAGACACTTAGGATCACTTTGTAAAACTCTTGGTTTTAATGGATAAAATCTACAAACAGAAGTCTAAGCATGAAATTTTAGCCCCAAATTCTAGCTGTATCATATTCTGGTCTATATGCAAAGATTATATTCTACCGATGTGTCCTTCACATCCATTTGGAATAAACATTCCATAACATCCATTATGGGATAAACACTGAAACATGTTTACAAATCATGTGTTTGGTGAAGTTGAAGTTTAGAGAATCTAATTGAGCTCTCTATTGAATATTCTATTGTAAAAATTCCACTTTGTCATGTATGTTATACAGGTATTACATGGAATTTCCTTAAAGTAAGAGCACTTTTATAAGCGTTCTGATTAATTTCTGGTCCAGGAATATTTGCACAGAATGTGATGTATATGCTTTACTTAATTCAGTGTGATTCATAATTTTTAGTAATTCATGGTCTCTTAGAACATTTGTACTTAACAAAGAGTTACTGTTTAATGTGGAGCTTCTCAACATTTAATATCGTGCTACTTGTGAAAAATATGATGTACCAAATAGATGGAGTTGCTAAGACTCAGGCTGCCATGAACTTTTGGAGATTAGTATTTTGTCATTCTTTGTTTCTTTTTTAAGATTTATTTATTCTTATTGGAAGGTCAGATATACGCAGAGGGGGAGAGACAGAAAGATCTGTCCTCTGGTTCACTCCCCAAGTGGCTGCAATGGCCAGAGCTGAGCTAATCACAAGCCAGAAGCCTCTTCTGGTCTCCCACATAGGTACAAGGTCCCAAGGTTTTGGCATCCAGTGCTGCTTTCCCAGGTCACAAACAGGAAGCTGGATGGGAAGTGGAGCAGCTGGGACACAAATCTGAATCCACATGGGATCCTGGTGCGTGCAAGGCGAGGATTTAGCAACTAGGCAATTGTACTGGCCCCTTATTTTTTAAAAAACTGGCATTTGGTTTTGAGATGATTTAGATGTTTGATAATCAATTCTGGTTCTAAAATTCTGGCTTAGAATGCAGTAGGTAATTGCCAAAACGAATTTGCTGGTGTGTTTGCAAGTTATAGCATACATGCTGAGTGACATTTTAGTCAGGTCTTTTCATTTGCAGTTAACAAAGACAAAATTTAAAAAAAAAAAAGACAAAATTCAATCTAGTTTGTTTTTAAAAGGGAATGTAGTGACGTACACAATTAAAAGCCCAGGGATGGGTATGATTTAGACACACTAGAATCAGGAACTCAAGTATGTCTTCAGTGTTCACCATTTAAAAATTCAGTCTCACTTAAGAGGCTTAGGCTTAATAGAGTAGGTGAGTTTTGTATGATAGCACCGATTTACTCTAATGCTTTGAAAGCAAGGTTGCTGGACCAAAAATTTGACCATTTAGAGTCATTGAACTAGAGTTAAATTTTATTCATTTTATTGCATTTTTGCATGGGTTGATGCCATGTTAACAAATGGCTATAATGGAAATTTACATACTTGCAAGGCATATACAGCATATACACCAAAAGGTACAGTAACGCTTTTCCCTGCTCTGCTTGTCTGCAGGCAGTGAAATGAAAGCTGCAAGAGTCCTGCTCGCTCAAGGCCTGCATACAGGAGAGAAGCAAGGGAAAAGCGTTACAAAGAACTTTTGTTCTACAGCATTTTAAAATATAACAGGTAGGTCAGATTTTTGGTCTGTCAGCCTTGAAAATGAACTTAGTCTTCTTTGAAGTAAAAGGTCATACCACTGAAGTGTGTTTTCAAATGTGATGAAAATGTCATCAAAGATCTGTTATGATTTCTGTTCCTGGAAAGATGTGATTGTTGTAAGCTGGTTACTGCATGATAGGTTCCAAAATAATGCTTTTACCAACTAGAATTGTTGTCATACTCGGGAGTGGCTGATGTGCTAAGAATGTACTAAAAATTATTCTTAGATTTTACTTTTTAAGATTTTCATAATTCCATGGTGTAAATTGACTGAACTTTGAACATGTTTTGAGTTATCTAGCCATGTTCTGCAGCATATTTGTAACTTCAGAATATAAAAAGAAAATTTTTATTCTACTTGTGTCAGGTAACTCATGTAGGCTTTTTGTTTTGTAGGTATATTGGAAAATCTGATTCTGTCACGATCAGTGTATGGAATCACAAGAAGATTCATAAAAAACAGGGTGCTGGGTTTCTTGGTTGTGTCCGTCTTCTATCCAATGCCATCAACCGCCTCAAAGACACGGGCTGTGAGTAGATACTAGAGTTTTGTAAATTAAGAAAAGAAATATGTCTATATACACATGAATATTTATGTTGATTGGACTCTAAAATTTCCTGTGTATCTCAAATATTGGTTAAAATTCCTGGTCTGAATTTATTTTGGAAAAAATGAAAGGTTTTTAATTTTATGACCTGGAGCTGAATCAGAGCTGATGCTTAGCTTCCTGAATTTGTAAATGTTAAGAAGTGACTGATCCTGGAAGGCTGAAAAGTGTCGAAGTTAGATGCCTTTGCAGGTTTCTCAGTCTTCTTGGTGCAGTGGGTTTGTAAGCTGAAGTAAGTTTTTGTTTAGGTGATTAGAGTGTTAAAGGTAACAGTTAAAGGGGAATTGGTGGTGGTAACAGTAGTATAATACAGAAAAGCTGTGACAGAATTATAAAGAAAGAAAAGCTATTATTCTGTCTGAGCCTAAGGTAGTTGTGTTAATTCCTTAGTCATAGCTCAGTTTATCACAATTCTGGACGTTTAGGAGATGACACAAAAACAAGATCACAGCATTGGAACTGATTTCCGCAATGGAATAATAAACTGACTTAGCGTGTGAGTGACCCCTACAATCAGGTGACGGAGAGTCTTTTGGGGGGCTTTTTCTCTATTGAAACATAGATAAGGATGTATTTTTAGCATTTTTTTGTTTCAGAATTTTCATATAGTATAAAAAAATTGTTAAACATTGTCATGAGATTTTAGCCCAGAATACTGTACTAAATAATCTCAAAATCTAACTAAGGATATCAGTAAGCAGAAAACAGTGAACTTAGCATTGAATGTTAGGTATATTAAGAGAATGTGGCATTTCACAGCTCCCAAACATAAATATTGACCTGTTAAAAAGAGAATGGGAGAAAACTGAGCTAGAAGTTCTGAGTCAGGTATGGAAATGTAAAGGTGCCTGTGAAATTCGTATTTCTGGGGTGACAAAATGACCAACAAGACAGAGAAGATAAGAGATAATCTACATATAAAGCAGCAAGTGGTTTTCTTACCTATTCCGGCAAGCAAACTAAAACCGTGGAGATGAGATACTTGTAGTTATCCCTGATAGCATTTTTGTTTTAGTTTTCTCATATTTAATAATGTGAAATTACACAGTAGTATTCAATTACAAAAATCAAGAAACATGTATTGATGAATATAAAGTCTTAAATATGATGCCAAGAATCATAATATAAATAATAAATATTGGGTGCTAATAATCAGAAAGTTGAAAGTTAGTGTGATAATTTAAGCTAAAGGTTGTGGTTTGGAACACAGAATTCTTTTTCTGCTGTGTTACATTTATTGACATTTTCTATGTACAGCTGTACTGATCAAATATTTATTGGGCACTTGATACAGAATTGTACCAGGTTGCAGTGGAGAATGTAGACTTAACATGCTCTCCTTTTACCAGTTCACACTTATTTATGGTATACAGCTGTGAAAGAATTAAGCTATAAATGCTATATTAAAAGTGAAACCAGCCTGCCATGTGGGTGACCTTGTTCTTCTATGTAACTTTGAGTGCCAGGCCAGTATTATATTTATTTTAGATATGAGTTGAGGGATTTAGGCAAATAAATGAGATGATCCTAAATGAGTTAATGGCAGGATTGAGTCACCCAGCTTTTTTTTTCTTAGCTTCATATTAATATTCATTTTATGTATGTCATTTGAAATGGTTAGATAAATAATAACTTTGATAGCAACTGTCATTTATTAAACATCTGTGTGCAGACTTTGCTCTGAAATTTATGTATTATTTGAGTTAGTTTTTAAAAAGTCGGAGATAAATACTGTTGTATGTGAGATTACATAGTCACCACAAATTGCTTAAAATCATAAGTTAGGAGGTGACAAGCCAAGACACAGACCAACATGAGCTGGAAGCTTTGTAGAGAAAGTCATTTCACAGTGGCAGTAGAGCATGAGGTGTTTTATTATTTTGAAAACTGAATTTATCAAAATTTGTGGACGTTAATATCAATTGTATATGCAATTAGAGAATTTTGTACACTGGGTTTGTAGTTAAAATACAATTGTTCCGGTGATCTGATTTGAAAAGATTATGTAAATTTGTTGTATGGCTGTTAGAGTTTCTGATGCTAGCTAATTTTGCAATTGTTCTTTTAAATTGATTTGAAATAGATCAGAGGTTGGATCTATGCAAGCTTGGGCCAAATGACAATGATACAGTTAGAGGACAGATAGTAGGTAAGTATGAAGTTTAAAGGTGCATGAATTTTGGGCTTGTACAAACTGACCAGGTCTAAATGTTTTACAATCAGTTTAATTACACATCATTATTGATATTAATTAAATGTGAATCAAGTAATGTGCTACAAAAAGTGGATCGGGTTAATCTAATTAATTTATATAATGTAAAGGAAAATAGCAACTTGTGTGTAAAGAACTGTGATCTTTTAGAAAATAATATTTCAAAATACACAAAATACAGCACTGAGAGAATGGCATACCTTTATACATGGTATTTAATTTTTCTAAAAATTAGTCTCAAACACATTTTGAGTAATCAGAACATTTTTTCTTGTTGAACTCTTTGTCTCATGTTTAGTACTTTACAGTTTATTTAGTTAATTTTTTTTTGGAAAGGCAGATTTACAAATAGGACGAGAGACAGAAAGATCTTCCATCTCCTGGTTCACATCCCAAACGGGTGCAGTTGCCAGAGCTGAACCAATCTAACACCAGGAGCCAGGAGTTTCCTCTGAGTTTCCCATATCGGTGCAGGGACTCAAAACTTTTGGGCCACCCTCTGCTGCTTTCCCAGCCACAAGCAGGGAGCTGGATGGGAAGCAGAGCAGCCCGAACATCCTGGCAAATGCAGGGCAAGGACTTGAGTCACTGAGCTACCGTGCCAGGTCGTGTCTCCAGCTATACCACCCTGAACACCCCCGATCTTGTCTGTTGGCTTACTTATAAGGTATTTGGTAGATATGGACTAGTAGTTTATTTTGAATTGACCTAGAGGAAGTGGTTGATATAAAATTTCTTGAGGCTTTTCTTAAGAATTGGTGCTGCAATTTGATCAATTATATACTTATTTATTTGATGTTTATATTGTTGATCAGTGGGAAGGATCGAGAGATAGTGAAAAGTGGATGTGATCATTGTTTTCAAATTTTATATTTTCTCTTTCTGTTTGATCAATCTTTTCGCATGCACTTGCAGTAGTTAACACATTTTTACAAAGGTGTCGACTTTCAGAATTTGGAGACCTTTTGTTGAGTTGAGAGTCTCTAGAAACCCTACTTTGTGTGATAACCTTCTTAATTCCTTTTATTATTTATTTACTTGAAAAATAGAATTAGAGAGGGAGAGTCGGAGAGCGATCTTCCGTCTATTGGTCTAATCCGCAGGTGGCCACGATGGCTGGGGCTGAGCCAGGCTGAGTCAGGCCAAAGCCAGGAGCTTCTGGAATTCCTACTGGGGTGGCAGGAACCCAAGCATTTGGACCATCTGCTGCTGCTTTTCCAGGGAGCTGGATCAGGAGTGCAGCAGCCGGGACACAAAGCAGCCCCCATATGGGATGCTGACATCACAGGTGGCAGGTTTACTCACAGTTGCCACAACACTGGCCCCACCTTAATTTTTTCATAAGTTGGATTATCAGCTATGACTGTTGAGGCCATTGAAGGGAGCGGATCAGCAAATGAAAGATCTCTCTCACATTTTCACTCTGTCAGCCTTTCAAATAAAATAAAAATACATGTATACATATATATGTGTGTATGTATGCACACACATATATATTCTTTAAGGAAAAATAAGGTGAGTTATAGTCAAATTTGACTGTACTTCATTCTTTTGGGAAAGTTATTAAAAACAGAATGAACACTAAGCAACAAGGAAGGACCTCAGGGATACTATTTAACTTCCTCATTATTCAGGTAGTGCCATAAGTATGTTAAGTGTTTTGTCCAAGGTATCGGTACTCAACTAGTTGTTAGAGCCTACTTTATTTCTCCTGCTTCAAGTTTATAGAGGTGCTTTTATGTGATGATGTGTATGCTTAAAGCTCCTGGAATCCAAGGAATGCCTTGTTGCCAGAATCCAATGTATATGTATTTTATAACCTTAATGTGTTAGGCTGCTTCCTAAGTGCATTGTGACCTTGCATTGCCCCATTAAAGTGATTTTTTAAAAAACTATGGGGAAAGAATTCATAGATTCTAATGGAAAACAAAGAATGAAATGAGCCAAGCCAGGTCCACTTTCACAGGTAAGTCTGTTTATGTAATGTTTCTGCCCAGTCCTGTGGATCAGTAACATTTCTGTTGTTTACCAGTGAGTCTTCAGTCCAGAGATCGCATAGGCACGGGAGGACAAGTTGTGGACTGCAGCCGTTTGTTTGATAATGATTTACCAGACGGGTAAGTTTACATTATGAAATCATTAGAGAAATAGAGAGCTTCCTTTAAATAATGAGAAATAAGTTGCTTCTTAAATACTTAACTTTGGAAATGCTCTGTGAAAAATTCCAGGTATAGGTTATCCTCAGATAATTAATTAGTTAATAATTTTTTTTATTTTTTAAATTTTTAAAAAAGATTTATTTATTTTTATTGGAAAGACAGATGTACAGAGAAGAGAGGCAGAGAAAGATCTTCTGCCCAATGCTTCACTCCCCAAGTGCTCACAATGGCTGGAGCTGAGACAGTCTGAAGCCAGGAGCCAGGGGCTTCTACTGAGTCTCCCACAAGGTGAAGGGTCCCAAAGCTTTGGGCCATCCTTGACTGCTTTCCCGGGCCACAAGCAGGGAGCTGGATGGGAAGTGGAGCTGCTGGGATTAGAACTGGCGCCCATATGGGATCCCGGGCATGTTCAAGGCAAGGACCTTAATCACTACGCTATCGTGCTGGGCCCAATTAGTTAATAATTTTTTTTTTTTTTAAAGATTTATTTTTATTATTTTTTTTTTATTGGAAAGGCGGATATACAGAGAGGAGAGACAGAGAGGAAGATCTTCCGTCCGATGATTCACTCCCCAAGTGAGCGCAACGGGTCGATACTATGCCGATCCGAAGCCAGGAGACTCTTCCGGGTCTCCCACGCGGGTGCAGGGTCCCAAAGCTTTGGGCTGTCCTCGACTGCTTTCCCAGGCCACAAGCAGGGAGCTGGAAGGGAAGCGGGGCTGCCGGGATTAGAACCGGCGCCCATATGGGATCCCGGGCGTGCAAGGCAAGGACCTTTAACCACTTGTGCCACCGCGCCGGGCCCAATTAGTTAATAATTTTAAAAACAGATTTGACATGTTAAATTTGATTTTTAAAACAAGATTATTTTTATTTGAAAGGGAAATTTATGTAGAGAAAGACACACACACACACTCAGAGATCTTCTATCTATTGGTTCATTCTCCAAATGGCTGCAGTGACCATAGCTGGGCCCAAATGAAGCCAGGAGCTTCTTCCAGATCTTCCACATGGATGAAGGAGCCCAAGCATTGGACTGTTCTCTGCTGCTTTACCTGACCATTGGAAGGGACCTGGATCAGAAATGGAGCAGCCAGGACTTGAACCAGTGCCCATAAGGGATGCTGGCATCACAGATGGACGCTTAAGCTGTTTTGCCATTGATTTTTAAGAGTTTTAGCTAGGAAATCCAATTTCTTGACGGATAGAATTCTGTAAGCACCATTTGAAAGAAGGTTTTTTTGCTTGATTAAGTGATTCAAAATGGGGCATACCAGTTCTGAATTTGAAATACTGCTCTTTAGAAGGATGGGAAAGAGAATTTAGGTAGTAGCAATTGTAACAAAGTAGCGTTTTCTTTTTAAAGATTTATTTATTTATTTATTGGGAAGTCAGATTTATAGAGAGAGGGAGAGGCAGAAAGAAAAATCTTCCATCTGCTGATTCACTCCCCAAGCAGCTGTAATGGCCGGAGCTGAGCCAGTCCAAAGCCAGGAGCCAGGAATTTCCTCTGAGTTTCCCATATTGGTGCAGGGACTCAAAACTTTTGGGCCATCCTTGGCTGCTTTCCCAGGCTACCAGCAGGGGGCTGGAAGGGAAGTGGAGCAGCTAGGATACAAACACACACCCACACGGGATCCTGTCGACTGCAAGGCAAGGACTTCAGCCACTAAACTGTTGTGCTGGGCCCACAAAGTAGCATTGTGTGTCACATACTGTTATAAGCAGATTTTGTCTTTCAGTTCTCATGGCTTATTGGTAGGCAGTAGGTAGTAGTAAACTACCTGTCATTCTGGAATTAGAGGAACAAGGTTCCAGTTCGTATACTTCTGTTTACTAGACTTATCTCCTGAATTGATTTATTTAAATTCTGTAAACTAAGTTTACATTATTCAAAGAGGTGTAAGAACCTACTAAATAATTAGCTACTATACTTTCTAGTTCTCATTAATTTTTTAAGGTTAAAAATACCACTGAAATTCAGACTTTAATTAGCCTAAGTCCACATAGATAGCAGTGCTAGAATATAAACCTTAATCAAAATTCTGAAGCTTATAATGTTTATCACTGCTCTCTGTCACTTTCTAGATTTTTAACTTTAGAAGATTTTTTAAAATGAGATTTATTTATTTTTTGAAAGATAGTGTGGCAAAGAGAGGAGCAAAGATAGACTCTTCCATCCACTTACTTGTTCGCTGTAACAATCAGGGCTGGGCCAGGTGGAAACTTGGACCCTGGAGCTTCTTTCAGATCTGCCAAGTCGATGTAGGGATCCAGGCAGTTGGGGAATATTCCACTGCTTCCCCAGGTGCATTAACATGTAACTGGATCTAAAGTGGAGCAGCTGAGACCAGCACCCAAATAGGATGCTGGTGTTGCAGGAGGAGGCTTAGCTTACTATGACACAACTTCAGCCCTGAGAAATCTATCCGCTGACTCATTCCACAAGTGCCCATGGTAGCTGGGTCAGGGCCAGGCAGTAGCTGTGAGCCTGGAACTCATTCTGATTCTCTCCTGCGAGGGGCGTGGACCAGGTGTTTCAGGCATCACCTCTGCCTCTCCAGGCTGCACATGAGCAGGAAGGAACTGGAATTGGAAGCAGAGTTGGGAACTAGAACTCAGTCACTTTAATGAAGGATGTGAGTGTTCTAAGCTGTGACTTAATTGCTGCTACAAACACTTGCTTTTTCTGTTTCAATGCCCCAAGTCTCTGCCAATATTTGGTAGAAATATTAATACATTTGTTGTAGTCATGTGAATTATAATAAAGGGCTGAGAACAAATTAGTTTTCTTGCCTTTTAAAAAAATGTTTATTTTTATTGGGAAGGCAGATTTACGGAAAGAAAGAAGGACAGGGAAAGATTTTTCATCCACTGGTGCACTGCACACGTATCAAATGGTTGGAGCTGAGCCAGTCCAAAACCAGGAGCCAGGAGCTTCTCCTGGGTCTCCCACATGGGTGCAGGGTCCTAACTCTTAGGACCATCCTCCACTGCTTTCCCAGGCCACAAGCAGGGAGCTGGAAGGGAAGTGGAGCAGCCAGGACACAAATGGGTACCCATATGGGATTCTGGTGCTTGAAGGAAGATTAGTGAGTTGAGCTATTGTGCCAGGCCCATTTTTCCTAATTTTAAAAAAATGAGTACGTTGAATGTTTTAGTAAACTTTTATATGCTTCATGGTCAATTTTGGTTAAAAATATGTTGTATTTGTTTATTTCAAATTTATTGGAAAGGAAAAGAGAGGATTTTCCTGTCTCCTGTTTGATTCCTCAGATGGCCACATTTGCCCCTGAGGCCCTGGGTGGGCCTGAAGCTGGGAGCTCATGTGAATGACAGGAACTCAGTATTGAGAAATCCCTGATGCTTCCAGGGTGGAATCAGGAGCTGGAGGTGCACAATGAGCCCAGGTACTCCCGCTGTGCTCGCTGTGGTACTTCAGGTTGTCCTCCTGTGTGAACTATGGGGCATTGTATCCGGTGCTTTCCTTGTTAGGGCCAGCACCTGCCCTGATTTTTACCTTTAGACCACTTTGACTTTATTTTTTACTCTTTTGCCTACTAACCTAATAGCAAATGTAATTAACTGTATAGATAAAGGCATTTTTAGTTATGTTTTTGAAGATTTATTTGAAGAGCAGAGGAAGAAAGAGATTCTATCTGCTGGTTTACTCTTCAGATGGTTTTAATGGCTGGGGCTGGATTAGGCTGAAGCTAGAAGAAAGGGGCATCTTGCAGGTCTCCTATATGGGTGCAGGCACCCAAGCACTTGGTCATCTGCTGCTGCTTTTCCTAGCCCATTAACAGGGGAGCAGCTAGGACAGATATCAATGCCCTTACTGTATGCTGGCATCACAACTAGAGGCTGTATCTGCGAACAATGCCAACCCCTGCTAAATGTATTTTTTTTAAAGATTTATTTATTTTTATTACAAAGTCAGATATACAGAGAAGGGGAGAGACAGAGAAGAAGATCTTCCGTCTGATGATTCACTCCCCAAGTGAGTGCAATGGCTGGTACTGTGCCAATTTGAAGCTGAGAACCAGGAACCTCTTCCGGGTCTCCCACGTGGGTGCAGGGACCCAAAGCCTTGGGCCATCCTTGACTGCTTTCCCAGGCCACCCGCAGGGATCTGGATGGGAAGTGGAGCTGCTGGGACTAGAACTGGCGCCCATATGGGATCCCGACGCGTTCCAGGCGAGGACTTTAGCCCCTAGGCCATGCTGCCTGGCCCTGCTAAATGTATTTTTAGGGTATTAATTTTCCACACAGTTCTACAGAAATGAATAGAATTGAGTGTTGACATTTGGTTCATGGTAAGTACTGTTTACATCTCAGTTTTAATGTCATGGATGCCTTGAAATTCCGTAAAATGTCGTTACCAAAGTTAAAGTCCAAATCTATGAATTAATCTTTCAGTTGAGCTTCCTGTTTTGTGACAGAAGGTGCCTTCCTGGCTTTGCCAAGCTGTACTATAAACATTTCATGTCCATTAATATCTGCTAATGTCTTATATCTCAATATTTTTATTTAAGTTGGGAAGAAAGGCGAACTGCATCTGGGAGAATCCAGTATCTAAACCACATAACAAGAACTACACAATGGGAACGTCCAACACGGTAAGAACACAGATGTTTTTGCATCTTCTATGTTAGTCATATTCCTGAGTTTCTCTTCTGCTCTTTGGTAGCTTTATTAGATTTTTTTCCGCCTTTGGTTTATACCGCAACAGACCAGTAGATCTTCTAGGTGGAGACATTTTTAAAAAAAATTATTTTACTTTGCTTATAAATTTTATTTCATTTTTATTTGAAAGGTAGAGTTAGAGGTCAAGGTGGGGAAAGAGGCATAGATCTTCCATCTGCTGGTTTACTCTCTAGGTGACCACAATGGCCTACAGCAGATTGAAAGCCTCTTGAAGAGACAAACAATTATATGTCCAGTGATAGGTGTTCTGAATATTTATTGTTGGGAATAAATTAGGCAGGCTCTCCTCTGAGTATGTACTCTGTGGAGGGGGTGGAGATGAACAAAATGAAGGGCACGATTAAGCAGCAAACATGAGTGAAGTAGTTGCTGTGTTGCGAAGCCAAGCTGTGCTGATGTGCTGACTTGTGATGGAATTATGTCCTGGCGCACCCACTGTGGGCAGAAAGTACTTGAAGTAAAAAATACATTGGATAGCAGCAGGCAGCCAAACCTTGCAGCTTCGCTGCACAGCACACTGTGGAGAGAGGTCTGGTTTCCCTTGCGTTCACAGGGCTGATTGGCACTGCATATTACCATCTTGGAAAAGATCAAACTCAAAGTAGTGGTTTCCAAATGCAAATTGCCTTTGACGCTATCTTTTTTTTTTTAAAGATTTATTTTTATTATTTTTTTATTGGAAAGGCGGATATACAGAGAGGAGAGACAGAGAGGAAGATCTTCCGTCCAATCATTCACTCCCCAAGTGAGCGCAACGGGCCGATACTATGCCGATCCAAAGCCAGGAGCCTCTTCCGGGTCTCCCACGCGGGTGCAGGGTCCCAAAGCTTTGGGCCATCCTCGACTGCTTTCCCAGGCCACAGGCAGGGAGCTGGAAGGGAAGCGGGGCTGCCGGGATTAGAACCGGCGCCCATATGGGATCCCGGGCGTGCAAGGCGAGGACCTTTAACCACTTGCGCCACCGTGCCGGGCCCGACGCTATCTTGAAGTCAGAAAATCATTAAGTTGGATCATTATAATTTGGGGAACATGTGTACCATCCAGTAAAGACTGGGTGACTTCTTCAGGTTGGGAGGTTGGAAGGACAGTGTAGGCAATGTTTAAATGTGATTTAAATGTCAGTAAAGAACCAAACCTGGGGAAAATAGGAAAGACTATTCCAGGTGGAGGGAAAAGCAACTTCTGTCAGAGAGTACAAGTCCTCGACAGGTTCAGGACACAGGGGCAGCGTTAGTGCAGCAAGGCGGAGTGAGAGGGACATCGGGAGTCAGGTCTGAGAGATGGGCCTACAGCTGGATCAAAGAGTAGGTTGTAAAACAGTACACATGTCCATATTTCATGTGGATTTTATATAAAATGTGATTGAAGTTAACATAAAATCATTTAAACACATATTTAATGACATGCTTATCAGCCCAGTTTTTTTGGTGCTTAGAGAATGCAGGCTTAGTTTCACCAGTTTTTGAAAGCGTTCAATTTCTATAGTCAGTCTGTTTTCTTATACAGGATTGTTACTGCAGTGTGTATATATATATATATATATACATATATATATATATGTTGTGTAGAGAAAGTTACTTTTCATATCTAAATTAATATATATTTTTTTTCCTTTTTACTTCTCAACAGGCCGGCTTCTGAATATTCTAGTCCTGGCAGACCTCTTAGCTGCTTTGTTGATGAGAACACTCCAATTAGTGGAACAAATGGTGCAACGTGTGGACAGTCCTCAGATCCCAGACTGGCAGAGAGGAGGGTCAGGTCACAGCGCCATAGGAATTACATGAGCAGAACACACTTGCACACCCCTCCGGACCTCCCCGAAGGCTATGGTATGACAGCTAGCAGAGGAGAAATAGTGTGATTTGCTTGTAGTCAGCTTGCTTAGGAATGCAGAAAATCAATTTCCAAGGAAGTTAATAATCTAGGTTTAGGGATTCTACATGAAAACAAAAAATAGAGGGAAAGCTCCCAATTTTGAAAAGCCTTTGAAGTGTTAGAAGACTGTATGACTTTGGGCTCATCATTTAAGTTTGGCTTTTGTGCTGATTTATGATGAAACAAGATGAACACCTTATCACAAATACATTGTGAGGAGCGTTTGAAACAAGGGAGACTATCTTGTAAACAGGCACTGTGTAAAGGTGAAGGTGGTACTGTTCCTGAAAATGGTAATTTGAAATCAAACCTATTAATGATTTTCTGGACAGCCATATTTAGGAATAATTCCAAGGCAAATTTTGGATACATTATGTCAGTATTATCTGTAATTTTGAATTATCTGAGTGATTGGATAGTTGTAAATGATATGGCTTCTCCATGCCTCTAAAATGAAAACAGTGCTATCTAACGTCAATTATAGAATTTTGCATCGACGGTAACACAGAACCTGTCTTATTTGAATGTAGAACTTTCTAAATTGATCACAGCTTGATTACATTTGTGTGCACTCCTTGTTCGCTAAATCTAGCCAGCCTATTATTTTGGGCTGATGGTGACACCTAATGGCCAAGACTGGGAGCTGCTGCACTTAACCTGTGTATAATTTTCATTTAAAAATATTTTTTAAAACACTCTACAAAAGCACGATTCTAATTTTTTGTGTGACATGTTGGCTGTGTAACCACAGGAAAAAAAATTACCCCACTAATGTGCCTTCACAAATTAACTTATAACATGATAAGAGTATGAAGTATGGGTAGGCGGCGTGGCCTAGCGGCTCAAGTCCTCACCTTGAACGCGCTGGGATCCCATATGGGCGCTGGTTCTAATCCTGGCAGCTTGACTTCCCATCCAGTTTCCTGCTTGTGGCCTGGGAAAGCAGTCAAGGATAGCCCAAGGCCTTGGAATCCTGCACCCGCGTGGGAGACCCGGAAGAGGTTCCTGGTTCCTGACTTCGGATCATCGCAGCATCAGCCATTGCGCTCACTTGGGGAGTGAATCATCGGATGAAGGATCTTTCTGTCTGTCTCTCCTCCTCTCTGTATATCTGACTTTGCAGTAAAAAATAAATTTAAAAAGTGTGAAGTAGACAAAGGTTCATATATTGACTTGGCCACCTTATGAGGAACACATGAACCTCTCTAACCCTCAGTTTTATCTTTAAAAAAATGGAAAAAATAAGTACCAATCATGTTGATTTATTGCAAGAAGTAGATGATGTGTTCTCATTAAGTACATGAAAATGTCTGGCGTAGAAAGCACTTTAGATGTCATTTCTTTCTCTGTTTTTGCTTCCATGTTATATGAAGGCAAACAGATGGGTCTTCAGTGCGCTAGTTTACCTCCCAGATGCCTGTAACAGCTAGGACTGGGCCAACCAGAGCTGGGAGCCCAACATCATCCATGTCTCCCTTTGGGTGACAAGGAGCAAGATGCGTGAACCATCTTCTACTGCTCCTCGGGTGCACATTAGCAGGAATCTGGAGGAAAAGGGAGGGGAGGACCAAAGCAGGCACTGTGCTGTGGGATGCAGCTTCTGAAGTGGGTGCGGAGTGCCTGCACACCTGCTGCACCACTTCACTCTGCGGCTGTGAGGCAAACTGGCTAAATTAGGGGTGTTTATGCACGTGAAATATTTATGTGATTTGGATTTGAGCAAGTTTTTTCTAACCAAAATATAGGAATAAAGTGAATACCAAAGTTGAAAATAATTGTAACTCATCTATAGCTGACTTTACATATTTTTATGTCTGTAATTTTTGAAACTTTAAATTCATTGATCTTAATATAGGGTTATAAATGTTTATTATTTTCAATGATTTCACCAGATTTTTTAAAAAAGATTTATTTCTATTATTTTTTATTGGAAAGGCAGATATACAGAGAGGAGAGATAGAGAGGAAGATCTTCCGTCCAATGATTCACTCCCCAAGTGAGCGCAACGGCCGATGCTATGCCAATCTGAAGCCGGGAGCCTCTTCTGGGTCTCCCACGCGGGTGCAGGGTCCCAAAGCTTTGGGCTGTCCTCGACTGCTTTCCCAGACCACAGGCAGGGAGCTGGAAGGGAAGCGGAGCTGCCAGGATAGAACCGGTGCCCATATGGGATCCCGGGCGTGCAAGGCAAGGACCTTATTAACCACTGTGCCACCACGCCGGGCCCTTCATCAGATTTTTTAAAAAAAGGTTTATTTATTTTTTATTGGAAAGTCAGATATACATAGAGGATGATAGGCAGAAAGGAAGATCTTCCGTCCAATGATTCACTCCCCAGGCAGCTGCAATGGCTGGAGCTGAGCCATTCTAAAGCTGGGAGCCAGGAGCTTCTTCCAAATCTCCCATGCGGGTGCAGGGTCCCAAAGCCTTAGGCTGTCCTCGACTGCTTTCCCAGGCCACAAGCAGGGAGCTGGATGGGAAGCAGAGCTGCCGGAATTAGAACCAGAGCCCATATGGGATTCCAGCGCGTTCAAGGCGAGGACTTTAGCCGCTACACTGTAGTGCCTCCCCCACATTAGATTTTGTAACATGAAAAAATGTTTGTTACTTAAGAACACTACAAATACCACTTTTTATAGATTATTTTTTTAAGATTTATTTTTATTGCAATAAGACATATATATATATATATAGAGAGAGAGAGAGAGGAGAGACAGAAGTATCTTCCATCCAATAATTCACTCCCCAAGCAGCCTCAATGGCCGGAACTGAGCCAAACCAAAACCAGGAGCCAGGAGCCTCTTCCAGCTCTCCCATGTGGGTGCAGGGTCCTAAGGCTTTGGGCCATCCTCCACTGCTTTCCTAGGCCACAGGCAGGGAGCTGGAAGGGAAGCAGGGCTGCGGGGATTAGAACCGGCACCCATATGGGATCCCATCATATGCAAGGTGAGACTTTTAGCTGCTAGGCCACCAGACTGGGCCTGCTTTTTTATAGATTCTTTTTCTTTTCTTTGGCTTCCCCAGTTATTTCCTAAGGACTTTGAGTTCATTTCATCTTTAATTTTTTTTCTGCTTCGGAGTATACACTTGCTTGTTAGTCCTCTTTTTTCCTACTTGGCTATTTTTTTTTAATCTTTACCTATTCTTGACTTTAGAATTTCTCCCTGGTATACCATCAGCTTTGCTTTTGTTTCAGCCCATATGTATTCTTGAGACTATACCTCTGTCAGGAAAAGATACAAATTCATGTATAAAATTAGTCATGATAAAAAGTGTTATCAGTCTCCATTTGTTGGAAAATTTCTGAAAGTTCCCTGCCACCCTCCCCAACTTGGCAGCGTCTTGCTCTGACCTTCTCCCTCCCGTTAGTCTCTGCATTGAAGACAAATAAGAGATCATTTCTTCATCTTTTACTTACTGATATTGTCACAGCCTTGTTTTCTGTTTTCCATCGCAACATTTGCTATTTAAACCACATCATGAATTTAATTATGGTTGTGACCCTCATCAGCACTTAAAAGATTATTTCCCGGGGGCAGAACAAAATTATCCATTTTTTATAATGAGATAATTTGAAAATTTCACCTATATATCGTTCAGGTGTATGGGACTTTAATTTGAATATTCTGAATACATTTCTATTATTAGTGTTTTTTGTTTTACAGAACAGAGGACAACGCAGCAAGGTCAGGTGTACTTCTTACATACTCAGACTGGTGTGAGTACGTGGCATGATCCAAGGGTGCCTCGGTAAGCATGTATTTTAAGTATTCCTCATACCATTGACTATTCATTTTACTTAGAATTCCTTTGCTTTGTAAATCTGTAATTCTAAAAATAGTTCATATAGAAGTTTTCTGAGATTCATTTTGGTTTAATATTTTTATTTAGATTTATTAGTTTTTTATTTTGAGGGACAGAAGGGAGAGTAGAGATTGAAGGAGGCAGGAAAGAAAGGAGGGAGGGGAGAGGGGGAGTGAGAGACACGGAGACCCAGCTGCTCTGTTGGCTTTCGTATGGGAGTCAGGTACTTAACGTTACAGCAAAGACTGGTTTGGCGTTGAGGTGAAAGTCCTACCTGTTTCTACAGTCACGTCACAGTTCTTCAGCACCATAGAGTTTGAACCCTCTTCTCTGCTCCCCCTTTTAAAATGGGCAAAAATAGGAGTCTTTTTGGAATTGAGAGATTGTCCCGTGAGTAAACTTGAAAAAGCTGGGCCTAGCCCCAGCCACTGCAGCCATTTGGTGAGTGAACCAGTAGATGGGTGATCTCTGTCTCTCACGCTTAGATTCTATGTTTCAAATAAATAAGTCTTAAAAATTAATAAATAAATTTTAAAGCTATCTTATATATTTAGATGTAATATATGTAGATATCTAATATATCTAATGTATTTAGATTTATCTAAGGAATCCCATTTTACCATGTTTTATATTTCTCTTCAAAACAATGATTATTGCCTTGTCTCGTTATGTTGCTTACTGACTGTGGCCTGGAAATACAGACCTGTCTTACTTTTTATGGCTACGTAACACCTGTTGTTCTCGGTCAGTTCCTCACTGTGTATAAAGCTTGTTTCTACCGTCCTTCCCCCAACCGTAAGATTATTTACTTGAAAGGCAGAGTTACAGAGAGGGAGGGAGGAAGAGGTCTTCCCCCTGCTGGTTCATTCCACCAGTGGCCTCATGCCAGCACTGGCCAGACCAAAGCCAAGATCCAGGAGATTCTTCTGGCTTTTCCATGTCTGTGGGAGGGGCCCAAGTACCTGGGCTCTACTATGCTTCCTTCCCAGGCACTCGAGCAGGGAGCTGGATCGAAAGTGGAGAAGCTGGGACATGAACCAGCAATAGGAATGCCAGCATCACAGGCAGTTTCTTAATGTGCTGCACCACAATGCCAACCCCCCATTGTGTTTTTAAAAAATGTGTGTTTCCTTATTTTCATTTCATTTGGAAAGCAGAGGCAGAGATCTGATATCTGCTGGTTCATTCCCCAATATCCCTGTGACAGCTGAAGCTGGGTCAGGCCGGAGCCGGAAGCTGCAGCTCAGTCTGAGTCTCCCACGTGGGTAGCAGACGTCTGAGTATGACTCATCACTGCTGCCTTTCAGGTGCACATTAGCAGGAAGCTGGAACTGGAATAGGAGCAGCAAATCAAACTTAGATACTCCAGTCTGGCATGTTGGTAGTCCAAGTGGTGTCTTAACCCCTGTGCCAAATGCCTGCCCTGTTGGTTTTTTTTTTTTTTTTTAATTTATTTTTATTACGAAGTAAGATATACAGAGAGGAGGAGAGACAGAGAGGAAGATCTTCCATCTGTTGATGCACTCCTCAAGTGAGCGCAGTTGTTGGTGCTGAGCTGATCTGGAGCCAGGATCCAGGAACTTCCTCTAGGTCTCCCAGGGCTTTGGGCTGTCCTCGACTGCTTTCCCAGGCCAAAAACGGAGCTGGATGGGAAGTGGAACTGCCGGGACTAGAACCGGTGCCCATATGGAATCCCAATGCGTTCAAGGTGAGGACTTTAGCCGCTAGGCCACCGCGCTGGGCCCCAGATGTAGGGTTTGTGATAAGTTTTTCTGATACATTTATGAATTGGGCTTTGAATGTTTGTTAAACCAGTGGGAACTAAGGATTCCAGCTGGATATCTCAAGTTTCTGAGGAATACATTTTTCTCAGACTTTGTGGAATTGTCCTGTGTCATTTAAACTTGCTTGCTCAGCAGACTCAGCAGTGAGGTATTTTTAATGTTTGTTTTTGCAGGGATCTTAGCAACATCAATTGTGAAGAGCTCGGGCCATTGCCTCCTGGATGGGAGATCCGTAATACGGCCACAGGCAGAGTTTATTTTGTTGACCATAACAACAGAACAACACAATTTACAGATCCTCGGCTTTCTGCTAACTTGCATTTAGTTTTAAAGTAAGTTTTTGAAACAGTACATGTTAACAATGTAAATCTGAACGAGAGGAAACTACCCTTTGAGTAGCACTGCTCCGGTGCTTGCGTGGTGATATAATTGCTGTGTCCTGTCTGACATTGCCGGATGAGGCTAACTTGTCTAGTGCTGCCAACCTGTCTTTCCTCCCAGTATATAGTTCCTGTTGCTCTAGAACTTTGTCAGTGCTTGCAGTAATTGGACCTTACTTTTTTTTTTTCTTTTGCCAGTCTGATGTCTGTTGGCATCTCTTTGTGTCTTTAATTTGACTTCACCTAACTACTAATTAGATTGAATATCTGCTGCAGATTTATTGACCATTCAGATTTCCCATTTTTGTGAAGATTGTTATCGTATCTTTTGATCTGATGACCACGTGCATCGGTTGTGCCGTGCAGTTACCCAGGAAGCTCTCACCATGGTGAAGAGAGAACATAACCTCTCACCCACACAAGTTTTCTTGCACCTTTGTAATTTTTTCCCCTCCTGTCCTCATGTGATGGATATTAGCTTCCTAGAACTGCTATAACCAAGTAATAACATCAAAACCACCTAATACCTTCAGAACATTTTTCTCCGTGTCAGGGTCCCTAAGGCATCAGGAAGGGACTGTTTTCCCAGCCCGGGTGCTGATGTAGCTTGGCAGCAAGGAGTGGGTGCCCCCTTGCCACCCTCCACCCTCCTGAGGGCACCCAACTTCCTCCACACCTCCGCCTTTCCCTCCCTCATTTGAGGCGCACATAGGTATACATCTCTTTCAACTAGGTAAAGTAATATTAAAAATAAATGTAAAAATACCAGAAAGTAATTACAAACTTTGTGGCCTAAAAATGGCAGAAATTCATTCTTTTATAGTTTTTTTGTTTTAAGATTTATTTTACTTTTATTGCAAAGTCAGGTATACAGAGAGGAGCAGTGACAGGAAGATCTTCCATCCTGGGAACAGGGCTGCCGCGATTAGAGCCAGCGTCCATATGAGATCTCTGTGTTCAAGGCGAGGACTTTAGCTGCTAGGCCACTGTGCCGGGCCCTCTGCTACAGTTCTGGAGCTCTGTTCTGGAGTAAGGGGTTAGGCAGGGTTGATTCCCTCTGGATACTGAGTCTGTTTCTACTTCTGGTGATTTCTCACACCCTTGGTGTTCCTTGGCATATAGATGTGTTAACTCTATTTTGTGTTCTGTCCTTTTTTCCTATATGTCTGTAATTCAGATTTACTTGTTTTTATAAGGAGACCAGTTTATAAGAAGACAAATGGATTTAGGGTCTCACTCAGTGTGACTTCATCTTGATTACGTCTACGAAGACCCTGTTTCCAAGTAAAGTCACATTTACAGTTGCCAGTGGGACTTCTGCATATTTTTTTAGGGGACATAGTTTAAACCATAGCACACCCACCCTCAGTCAACCAGAAACTGCTTTCTGTCACTATATTTCACTTGTAGATAAAGGGAGCCACATAGTACAGTTCTTTCATTTGCTCTCTTTTACCCAGTATTATTTTGAGATATGTGTGGAGCTGAGCCAATCTGAAGCCAGGAGCTTCTTCCTGGTCTGCTATGTGGGTGCAGGGTTACAAAGCTTTGGGTCATCCTCAGCTGCTCTGCCAGACCACAAGCAGGGAGCTGGAAGGGAAGTGGAGCAGCTGGGACATGAACTGATGCCCATATGGGATCCCGTGGCGTGCAGAGCAAGGACTTGAGCCACTAGGCTGCCGTGCTTTGTCCACCCTGTTCATTTCTTTCCTTCCTTCCTTCTCTTTGCTTTCTATTTTGACTTTTTTTGTTTGCACCTCTCCTCCCTCTCACTCTCCCATTGTGTGAGCATACCATGGTTCCGTTATCCGTGTGCCTGTCGATGAGCGTTTGGATTGTTTGCATCGCTTTTATGACAAGTACACACTGTTACGAACATTAATGCACAAGCCTCTGTATGGACATAACGTTACTGTTTACTAGATAAACATAGACCTAGTAATCAGTTGCTGAGGCGTATGAGATTTATGTCTGACGTCTAAATTGCTAGACTGTTGTTCAAAGCAGCTGTATGATTTTCATCACCGTCAGTTTGAGAGAGTTCCAGCTGCTTAATCTTACTGATTTCGTCCATTGTGCAAGGTGCTATTGGTGTCTCATTCAAGTTTGACTTTGCAATTCTCTAGTAACTTGTGATGTTGAATATCTTGTCATCTTTGAAATTTTCTGCCCCTCTACCCACTTTTAAACTGAGCTATTTGGGATTTTATTTATTTATTTATTTATTTATTTATTTAGATTTGTTTATTGGAAATGCAGAGTTAGAGAGAAAGAGCAGAGACAGAAGGAGAGTGCTTCCATCTGCTGGTTCACTCCCTAAGTATTGTTGTGTTTTAAGTGTTCTTTAGATATGTCGAGATTAAATACAAGTTTTTGCAAAACTTTTTTTATAGTCTGTGACTTGTCTTTTTATTTTTTTTGGTGTCTTTTGAAGACCAGAATTTTTTTTTTTTTAATTTGACTCAGTTCCATTTGTGCATTGGTTCTTCTGTGTATCTAAGAAGTCATTGCCCAACATAGTTCATATGTTTCTTCTTTTGTGTAGAAGTTGTATGGCTTTAGGTTTTAAATTGAAGTCTGCAGTACATTTATATTATATACCCAAGTCCATTAAAAAACAGAATTATACTATTGTTTATAGAATAGTTGTTATATCTGTTTGGATTCTGTGCATGTGCATAAAACCACCTTTATTATAATATTGCAAAAAATAGCTCATGTTGACTTGACATTTTAGACAAAGCTGAATTTTCTCTGATATGTTTTAGGTGCAAAATTTGGCCTAGCACATCAGTATATGCAGAATAAATTTGGATGATCTGTTGGAATAGAAATTTATTTTGTATTGTACAAGTACCCTTGCCTTTCACTTTTAAAGGAGACTTTTTTGGTCCGTTATGCATAAAATAAATTTTAAACCTCAACTATGTCCCTCATGGACTGCATAGATATCAGTGAGTCTTGTATTTTTGAAATTTCTTGATAGTGTATTGAAATTAGTTACATTGTATCATGAAGTCCTGAAAAATTCTTAGGTGCGATATACAATATTTTATGCCAGAAGAATAAACATATTTGGACAAAGTACCTTTTTACTTTCATATTTTTTAAAAAGATTTATTTTAGGTTTGTTGCCAAGTCAAATATATAGAGAAGAGAGACAGAAAGATCTTCCGTCCGATTATTCACTCCCTAAGTGAGCGCAACAGCCGGTGCTGTGCCGATCTGAAGCCAGGAGCTTTTCCGGGTCTCCCACGCGGGTGCAGGGTCCCAGACTTTGGGCCGTCCTCAACTGCTTTCCCAGGCCACAAGCAGGGAGCTGGATGGGAAGTGGAGATGTCTGTGTTAGAACAGGCGCCCGTATGGGATCCTGGCACATTCAAGGTGAGGACTTTAGCTGCTAGGCTATCGTGCCAGGGCCCTATTTTCATGTTTTGATAAACATGTAATATGCAGTTAGAAATAACTAACACAATAATATGAGCATACTTAATCTAGCACTGAAGTGTACCCCTAAACATTTGTTCAAATGGTACATGTGTATTTTACTGCACACAAAAAGCAGCCACTTGATGAGCCATGTACACTTGTTTATAAAGTGCTCGCTTTTCTTTGCCAGTTCCATACATGATATTTCCCACATACCCATGGTCTAAACTGTGGCAGGTCTAAGAGTTGCTGTCAAGTTGCCGGTCTGGGTCTTCTGGAAAAACAGACTCAGGAACAAGCAGTATTTGGTATATGCTTGGATTCTGAAATGCTGATCGTAAACTGTGTGGAAGAATAAGGAGACCGTATTGGAAAAGTTGGTCCCAGCAACAGTATAAAACTCTATTATCTGATTATGCTAATTCATACAGGAAGTAAACTTTGGAGTTGGTTTAGTGCCAAAAATACTAGCTGGTCCTAGTAATGCTTAGGCGGTGGCATGGTAAGACTTGTTTTACAATATGATGCTATTTTAAATGTATAATTGCAATGTCTACTTCAAAATAGTTTAATAGTAACATTTCTTTTCTTTTCTAGCCGGCAAAACCAGTTGAAAGACCAACAGCAACAGCAAGTGGTACCGTTGTGCCCTGATGACACAGAGTGTCTGACAGTCCCAAGGTATAAACGAGACCTGGTTCAGAAACTAAAAATTTTGCGGCAGGAACTTTCTCAACAGCAGCCTCAGGCTGGCCACTGCCGCATCGAGGTTTCCAGGGAAGAGATTTTTGAGGTAAATTCTGTAAGTCTTATTTTAAATCAGAGAAAAACTGAATTTAGAATTTGACTTTTCTCTTTCCAAAAATGCTTTTTTGGGACGCATTTTTCTTTGAGAGAATTCTCATTAATTTCTCTTAATGCTGGGGAATGGAGGCAGTCCAGTTGGAGAAGTTTCATAAACAAGGTGAGCTATTGAAGGAAATGAAGAGGACTTGGCATAGTAACCTAGTGACTAAAGTCCTCCGCTTGCAGGTACTGGGATCCCATTAGGACACTGGTTCCTACCCCTGCTGCTCCACTTCCCTTCCAGCTCCCTGCTTGTGGCTGGGAAAGCAGTCGAGGACAGCCCAAAGTCTTGGTACCTTGCCTGCACCCATGTGGGAGAGCCCAAAGAAGCTCCTGGCTTTGGATCGGCTCTGCTCTGGCTGTTGTAGCCACTTGGAGAGTGAACCAGCAGATGCAGGATCCTTCTCTGTATCTCCTTCTTTCTGTAAATCTGCCTTTCCAACAAAAATAAATAAATCTTAAGTAAAATGGGATGAAGAATGTCCCACATTACCATTGGTCCAGTTTTGTGTTTGCATTATGAATGCTTGGTTGAATTTTCAATTTTTAAAGATAAGGGACTTCAGGCCCCGCAAAGTAGCCTAATGGCGGAAGTCCTCCCTTTGCATGCGCTGGGATCGCATATGGGCACTGGTTCTAATCCTGGCAGCCCTGCTTCCCTTCCAGCTCCCTGTGGCCTGGGAAAGCAGTGGAGGATGGCCCAGAGCCTTTGGGACCTTGCCCCTGGGTGGGAGACTCAGATCTGACTTTTGCAGCCACTTGAGGAGTGAATCAATAGATGAAACATATTCCTGTCTCTCCTCCTCTCTGTGTATTTGCCTTTCCAACAAAAATAGATAAAAAAAAAATGGAGGGTTTTAAAAAAAAAAAAAAAACCATTTATTTAAAAGGTGGAATTAAACAGAAATTGGGAAAGAGCTTCCATTTACTGGTTCACTCCTCAAATGGCTGCAGTGGATGGGACTGTGCTAGGCCGAGACCTGGAGCTTCATCTAGTTCTCCCATGTGGACGAAGGCCCTAAGCACTTGGGCTGTCTTCTGCTATTCTCCCAGGTTCATTAACAGGGACCTGGATCAAAAGTGGGTGTTGGGACTTCAGCTGATACTCCTAAGGGGTGCTGGTATAGCACGTGGTAGCTTAACCTGAAGTGCATACCACTAGGCCCAAGGGACTCTTAAGGGTCTTTTGTCTATTATTTGACTCCTTCCATAGTTTATTGAAATGTTTTGTTTTCTGCTATATACTTTTCTGTGTACTGTAGCCCTAATACCAGCTTCAAAGTCAGTGCACAGCAAGTGACAGCCACAGGCTGGGGCTTCCCACTAGTGAGAGGATTCCAGGGCGAGGATGAGCTTTTTCTCTCAGAACAGTTGATCTTTGTGGTCAGTCATTTGTATTGTAATATGATAGTTTTCTATGTAATAGTCATATTAATGATATGTATGTTTTTTTAAAACTTTTTCTTATGTTTGTACTACTGTCTGTGTCCTAACTAGAAATCAATCAGCCAACTTTAAAAAAAAATCTGCTACTTCTACCAAATTCTATTTTCAGTGTCAATGATGTACCATTGCTTTGGTCCTCAGAACTAAAATAGGGATGTTTGTACCTAGTAGACTTGTAATACAATATCAAAGATTAGCTTTTTGGTGGGATTAAGCTATACCCATTTTTTTTAATCTTACGAAGTTTTAAGCACTTGGAGTTGATCCATTGTTTTAATGAACTTGTATTTCCTTATTTAAGTTAACTTATGTTTTGTGGGTAGAATGTGAGAGGGTTTAAATAGTTATAGCCTACAAGCACACAATAGTTTATTATAAATTTTTTTCAGGAATCATATCGACAGGTTATGAAAATGAGACCAAAAGACCTCTGGAAGCGATTAATGATAAAGTTCCGTGGAGAAGAAGGTCTTGACTATGGAGGTGTTGCCAGGTAAAGACTTGCTTGTCATTTCATGATGTGTGGGTCTTTGTATTAATCTTTATGCTTGTAAATATAAGATACTCTCTGTGGTATAACTTATCTCACTGATAATTGTTTCTCTAATGTAATATTCTCTTGTTTGCAACACAGAAGCTATCAACAGGTAAGTTCATGTACAGAGTACTTGCAGTAGTGTTACTGGCAGGTGGGAGTTTTAGAACTCCATCATGGATCATTTAGCCCACGGAGCCCCGGTCTGACAGCCAGCCTTAGAGCCTGTGTTTTCTCCATCTCAGAAGTCTGGAGACTCTAATGATACTTAATCTAAACTGACTACTGTATCCCTTTGTTTCCATTGTCATGCCTTTTTTTTTTTTTAAGATTTATTTATTTACTTGAAAGAGTTATAAGGGGAGACTCAAATTTCTAATTTGCTGACTTATTTCAAAAATACCAATGGCTAGGATTGAACTGGGCCAAAGCCAGAAGCTTCATCCAAGACTCCTTTATGGGTCTAAGAGCTCAAGTGCTAGACCCTCGGTAGGGAGTTGGACGGGAAGTGCAGCAGCCAGGACACGAACTGGTGCACATACAGGTTGCTGCAGTTTTCCCTCTTACACCTCAATACCCCTGCCCTGCCCTGCCCTGCCTCACTTTTTTGTCTTATGCTTTATTTATTTATTTGAAAGGCAGAGTTATGTAGGGAAGAGGTATCTTGCATCTATTAGTTCACTCCCAAAATGGCCACATGGCTGGATCTGGGTTGGTCCAAAACTAGGAGCCAGAAGCTTCTTAGGGGTCTCCCGTGTGGCCGTCCTGGCTCAAGGTCTTGGGCCATACTCCTCCGCCTTCTTAGGCACATTAGCAGAGAACCGGATCAGAAGTGGAAGTAGAGCAGCCAGAACTTGAACCAGCACACATGCGGTGCCGGTATCGCAGGTGATAACTTTATGACTACACCCCAGCACTGACCCCCACCTCCCACTGTTTTTTTTAAGGCAGAAAGAGACTGAAACAGAAATCTTCCAGCTGTTGATTCACTCTCCAGTTGCTCCCAGCAGCTGGAGCTGGACCAGGCTCAAGTGAGGAGCCTGGAAGTCAACTGTGGTCTCCCACATAGGGGTGGCAAGAAGCCATGTGCTTGAGCCAGCACTTGCCTCCAAGAATGGCATAGTAGGAAGCTAGAGTTGAAAACAGAGCCCAAATTCAAAGCTAGACACTCAGTAGAAGATGTGGGTGCTTCACGTGGTGTATTACTTGCTGCCTCAAGCACCCACTCCTGCCGTGTGTTTTTATCTTCTTGCAGGTGCCTGTGTGCTTGCCCATGTGTGCATACATGTCTGTGTCATGGTAATCCTTTAAATGTTTCCGTGTAACAGCTGTGTCTGCTGCACTCATCATTTATACATCAAGTCACTGATTTTATTGTTGATAGTGCATATATACTACCAAAATACTTTCCCATGTGTGGAAATTAAGTTGATGTAGATATTGGAGCAATATTATAGCTTTCTATTGAAATGTTGCAGGCTTCCTATAAACCTAACTTTGGTTCACTAAATCTCATCATTGTGATTTAGCATCATTGTGTTTTCAAAACTTTTCGTCCTGTCATTTAACCTATAAAAATCTTTGAGTTTTCTTAAATGTTTGCTTGGGCATCATACTTAGGATTTGATAATTTCTCTGGAATTCCTGGGTTTTTTTTTTTTGGGTGATTTGTTCATGGCATTTACGTGTAAATCAAACTGTGCTTTTTGTTTATTTTTTATATTTAATTGGGATTTGGTTTCAATGTCCTTACTTTTGTTTTTATTTTATTTATAGTTTTTTTTTTTTTTTTTTTTGGTAATTGGAAAGGCAGATTTCCAGAGGGAAGGAGATACAGAGAGAAAGATCTTCCACCTGTTCATTCACTCCCCAAATGGCCACAATGGCCAGAGCTGATCCAATCACAAACCTCCAGCCAGAAGCTTCTTCCAGGTCTCCCACATGAGTCAGGGTCTCAAGGCTTTGGGCCATCTCCTGCTTTTCCAGTCAATAAGCAGAAAGCTAATGGGAAGTGGAGGACCTGGGCTTAGAACCAGCACCTGTATGGGATGCCAGTGCTTGCAGGTGAAGGATTAGCCTGTTGAACCACCATGCTGGCCCCCTTTTATTTATTTTTTAACTTTATTACTGTTAGTTTTTAGGCAGTAAACTGCTTTTCTTGAACTTTCTTCCATAGGAGAACCCTAAAATAGTTGAGTTCTCCTCTTGTGTATGTTTAAAATGCTTAAGGAAATGAAATAAATATTTGAGCTTTCTGTTAAAGACACACATATATACATTGCAAACATCAGGTGAGTGCTGTGTGTATTCAGGAGACCACTTATGTGGAGAGTTTTAAAAAATCTCTGGACAAATTTTTCACATGTTTCATAATGGTAATAATTTGATTTAGGTTGTACCACATCATAGATTTTGAGACATTTCTCTTTAGATGTTTGTATTGTCTGGGATTCTCCTCCCCCCGTTTCCCACCCCTGATGGATTTTTCCCATAATGTCACACTCTTCACAAGTAGTTACAGTTCCATCAGTCTGAGATTTAAGTGTGCCTCAACATTTCTGGAACAATGTCAGACAGTCCATGATCCCATTGTCTAGATATATCCAGTGCTTGCATCGGGAGCCTGTATTTTGTTTGGAAGCAGAGATGCATGTTGTATTGTGTCTTCACTTCTGGATATGCTAGTCTCCATTACTCCACCACTATACATTCCAATTTGCATGATGGATTCTTTATATTAGAACATATAGTATTTCCCCTTTTGTGGTTGACTTATTTCACTGAGCATCATGGTCTCTAGTTGGGACTATCTAGTTGCAAATTTATTATTTTATTCTTTTAAATGGCTAAATAATATTCCATGGAGTAGATATACCACAGTTTCTTTAGCCACTTCTCTGGATGGGCATCTGAGTTGTTTCCACGTCTTTGCTATTGTAGATTGACCAGCATGGTGGCTCACAGGATAATCTGCCTGTCAGAGCCACCATCCCATATATTGTTGATTCTAGTTCTGGCTTCTCCACTTCTGATCCAGCTCCTTGCTTAAGGCCTGGGAAAGCAGCAGAAGATGCCTCAAGTCCCTGGGACCCTGCACCCATGTGGGAGGAGGCTCCTGGCTCCTGGCTCCTGGCTTTGGTCTCCTCATCTCTGACTATTGCAGCCATTTGGGAAATGAACTAGCAGATGGAAGCTCTCTCTCTCTTTTTGTGTCTTCCTCCCTCTCTCCCTCTCTCCCTCTCTCTCTCTTTTCCTCTGTAAATCTGTCTTTCTAAATAAAAATAAAATCTTTTAAAATTAAAACAAACAAGCAGTGATGCACACAGGAAGTGGTGTGGAGCCAACACAAAGAAAGCAGGCTTGCCCTTTAGTCTCCACCTGTTCTGTGTATTCCTGGGGCCTTGGCATCTCTGACTCACACTTTTATCACGGTGTGTTTTTGAGTTTATAAAGTAAAACATAATGACATTTTCTCACTAAAGCTGTACCAAAAAGTATACCCTTATCCCACAGGAGAGTAAATTGTTGCTATACTATAGAAGCTATATAAACTCATATAATGAAATAAGGCCAGATTCGTCCCTTCATTTTATATTATGGTTACAAATTTCTTTAACAATTAAAGTAATTGTCCACTGAGCTATTACATGTCCAGAGCAGTATGTCCAGGTGATAACTTCATGCTCATTGATGCCAAAATATAACAAAGGTGCCCCAAATTGTGTGTGAGATGACTTCAGTTTAATGAAAAGAGTTTTGTTTGCTGTTTGTGATGGCTACCTATTTCCAACTTGATCTAATTGCAGTTAGTGCTTTTTATTAATTAAAAATGTTAATAATGGGCCCGGCACAGTAGCCTAATGACTGAATTCCTCACTTTGCACGCACCAAGATCCCATATGGGTATTGGTTCTAATCCTGCAGCCCCGCTTCCCATTCACCTGCCTGCTTGTGTCCTGGGAAAATAGTCGATGATGGCCCAAAGTCTTGGGACCCATGTGGGAGACCCAGAACAGGATCCTGGCTCCTGGCTTCAGATTAGCACAGCTCTGCCCATTGCAGCTGCTTGGGGAGTGAACCATAGGACGGAAGATCTTTTTCTCTGTTTCTCCTCCTCTCTGTATAACTGACTTTCTAGTTTGTTTTTTTTTTTTTTAATTTATTGTAGTTAATGGCATTTTTTGATAAAATGTATTTTCATTAACAAAACATTCCCTTTTCATTTCTGATTTTCTAGGGAATGGTTGTATCTCCTGTCACATGAAATGTTGAATCCATACTATGGCCTTTTCCAGTATTCAAGAGATGATATCTATACGTTGCAGATAAACCCCGACTCTGCAGTAAATCCGGTATGATTTACAGTTGCAGTGATGTGAATTCAGTCGTGACCTCCAGTGCTTTCCATCTGAAATGTCAGTAGAGTTGATTATGTAAGGATTGTTGTCCTTACCCTTGTCTTATGTTTTAATTCTGCAATTTCTTTTGGGAAATAATTCTCAAGTAAATTGTTTATAGTTTTGGCCCAAGGATGATATTGTTTGTAATGGTCCCAGTTAGAAACCACACAGCTGTCCCCAAGAGTGGGGCTTTGGTGGTGGTAAGTTATAAAGTAAAGCAATATGCGCGAGGAAGAACAGAGTCTGGTCTTAGATGTGGGAGAATATCCTGGTTTGATCACTCACAAGCTTTGTAGCCTTGGATGAGTTCATTGACTTCAGCCTCTGTGTTGTTGTCAATGATAACTACAGCACATGCCTCAGAGGAGAGTGGTGAGAGTGAAATGGGACCCTTCCCATTGTATTATACGTTAGTAGGCATTCAACAAATTCAGTTTTGGAATTTTTGTTTTATGTTCTGATATCTTTCCACACAAGGGCATACTGCACGGCCACCAAAATGCTATCATATATTATGTGATAGTTAATTACATGTGAAGATGTGTTAATAGAAAAGGAAGTTATAAAGTGGTATGATGCAATTTTAGTACATAGGTATGTAAACATTGAAAAGCTCTATAGTTTTGAGAATAAGTTATTAGATAATGGGTTATTTTTTTTACACTTCTAATCTATGTAAATATTTTGTAGTGAATATATTTTTAAAAAGAATGAACATCTTTAAGATGAAAAGTTTAACTGAATATAATTGGGGTTATAAAGAAACATTAAAATATGCAGCTAACAGAACTATCTGAGGAAATAGCATATATACATGCCAACATTATCACAATGTAAGGTTTGTTTCAGGGAAGTCTTAGGGGAAGCTTTTCAGACGGAGGTTCTTCATGGAAAGCCCCCCCGTCCCCACTGCGGTGGCAGCTCACCTCTAGGGTTGCCTCCCAAAGGCCAGACCTACATCTTGAGTTTTAATTGTACTTATTTTTACAATTATCATTTTGTGGTATAGTTCCACAGGTCCCTCACTGAGTTCCCCTGTATGATTACTATACTGTAGTTCTTCATACACAGACATATGTCCATCATTGTGGGCATGGACAATGGCAGAGAGTCCAGCATCTCATTGTCAAGATATAGTAAACAGTTTCATTGGGAGTCTATCTTTGTCTGGAATGCATACTGCATTGTATCCTCACATCTGGGTATGACAGGATACAACAGGAAGAAAAATACAAATTTACAATACAATTAAGTTAAATTACATGCTGTTAGATATGATAGTCTCCAACACAGTTACTATATATCCCCTTAAATAAAACACCACAAAACGAAATCAACAATAGGAAAAAAAAAAAAAAAGAAATCAACAACACTTTGAAGTTAAAAAACATGCTGCTAAATGATTAATGTGTTGCTGAAGAAATAACAAAGAAAATCAAGAACCTTCTTGAAGAAAATGATGTTACTGTATGATCTATGAGCCACTGAAGAATTTAATCAGAGCAAAATGTTTTGAAGAGATGAAACTAACAAAAAACATCAAAATCCATGAGATATAGTTTTCAAAGATCTTCGTTGGTGAAATGTGTCACCGGTAGGCAGCAAATGGATGGGTTTTAGTTTTATTCCAGCCTTCTAATTTATTGATGAGTTTAAGATGTTCACATTCAGGGTTTATACAGATAGGTGGTAATTTGGTTCTGTCATTTTAGCCATGGGTTGTTCATTGATTTAGTCTTGTTATTGTACTGGGATGTTCTTCGCTTTCGCCTTTAGTTTTGGTGGATGCTATTCCTTTTCTCTGATGAGAACATCTTGAAGTATCCTTTGTAAGGCAGGTTTGGAAGAGGCATATTCTTTTAACTTTTTTTTTTTTTTTTGCTATGGAAGAATTTTATTTCATTTTCAAAGACAAAGGAAAGTTTTGCTGGGTATATTAGCCTGAGCCGACAATTTTTTGCTTTTAGAATCTGAAATATGTCACTCCATTCTCTTCTGGCCTGTAGTTTCCTGTGAGAGGTCAGCTGTGAGTTTAATTGGCATTCCTTTATATATCAGTTGATTTTTTCACGTGTGTATTTAAGGATCTTTTCCTTATGTTCGATTGAAGAGAGCTTGATGATCATGTGTCCTGGTGAAGATCGCTTTTGGTCAAGCTTGTTGGGAGTTCTGTGCCCCTCAAAGATGTTGTTTCCCAATTCTATCTCTAGATTATGGAAATTTTCCCTTATTATTTCATTGAGTACAATTTTAAACCCAGCTTTTGTATCTGTACCTTCTGGGAATCCCATAACTCTTATATGTTTGACCTTTTAATAGTGTCTTTCAGTTCTTGAATACTTTTTTTGGCTTGGTCCAGCTGTTTCCAGCTTTTTGTTTGTTTCCCCATGGTGTCAGGAAATATCTTCTAATTTTGAGATTCTTTATTCTGCCTGCTTCATTCTATTTTGGAGACTTCCACTGTACTTTTTACTCCACTGTGTTCTTCATCTGTGTTCCATCTGGGACCTGCTACTCTGTCTCTGCTCCTGGTCAAATCAAACAGACCAGCAGGACGAGCAGGTCTTTGTCTGGGTTCACCTCCAAGGCCCCAGGTAAACGTCCCTTTCCATCTTGTTGCTGATGGCTGTGGAGTTCAGATTGCCATTTGCTGAATGCTGCTGGAGTATCAGTCACTGCAACACCATACTGTTGTGTCTGCCGCTTTCCTGCGTCTGTCAGTCTCCGGGTGCCCCTCTGCTGTTATTCTGTCCTCCCCTATTTCCTGAAATGTGCCCTTTCTGCTTCACACTGGCTAATATTTCTCAGTCTGTTTAAACGTTCCCTTACCCTATTCCACCATCTTGATTCTCTTTGAGGGTTTTTTTGTTGTTGTTGTTTCTTTAAAGGTTTGTTTATTTTTATTGGAAAGTCAGATATACAGAGAGGAAAGACAGAGAGGAAGATCCTTGGTCTGATGATTCATTCCCCAAGTGACCACAATGGCGGAAGCAGAGTTGATCTGAAACTAGGAGCCAGGATCATCCTCCTGGTCTCCTGTGTGGGTGCAGGGTCCCAAGGCTTTGGGCCTCATGCACTGCTTTCCCAAGCCACAAACAGGGAGCTGGATGGGAAGCAAGACTAAAACCAGTACCTGTATGGGATCCCAGCATGTGCAAGATGAAGACTTTAGCCACTAGGCTGCTGTGCTGGACCTATGTCTTGAGTTTTACGACCTTGTTTTATTCCCCAGAGAGAGACTGTGTTTAGATAACTAGTATCTTCCATTTCCACTTGTGGACAATTACTCCCATGGGGGTTAATCCAAGTATGCATAGCTAGCCAGTGTCAGAATCCTGACAGCTTTTTTCCCATGACAAAGGGCTCAGCAGGAGGTGAGAGGAGAGGGGAGAACTGGGTCTCCCAGTGGTGTAATAAGACCACGGTGGACTATGGGCCAAGCTTAATGTTTAAAAAGTCAACTACACAGAGTGCTGTAGAGGCATTGTGTGTGTTTGTGTACATACACATATACACACATAGGTATATATTATAGCAGGGCTGAAGAACCTTTTTCCTACCAAGGACCATATGGATATTTATAACATAGGCAGCACACACAAAATTAGCAACTTACTAATTAGCCCGCTGTAGAGCTGTTGAATTTTGAGTCCAGCCTGAAGCTGCATTAGCAGGGCTAGACCAGATGGTTTCATGGGGTCATATGATGGCTCGCCAGACATTCTTCACCCGTTTGTAGTAATGTGGAGAATTGAGTGTGCCTTATAAAACACTTCCTTTTGATTCATCCTGTTCTAAATGCATGTAGAATACGAACTTGAAATTATCAAGATCAGTGTTCATTTAAAATGTGCTTATTAAAGATTCTCTAGATGTTTATGATTTGAGAATTTATATAAACTTTTTTTTTTCAGGAACATTTGTCATATTTCCACTTTGTTGGACGAATAATGGGAATGGCTGTATTTCATGGACATTATATTGATGGTGGCTTCACATTACCGTTTTATAAACAGTTGCTTGGAAAGTCAATTACTTTGGATGACATGGAGTTAGTTGATCCAGATCTTCACAACAGTTTAGTGTGGATACTGTATGTATGGAGTATTTCTTTATCTGCCCACATCTGTTACAACTCATGTACTAAAAAAAAAAAAGTATCTCTTTAAAGACTATGCACAAACTATATTAAGGGTGTTTGAATGACATGACCATATCAGAATTTTCTCTTTGTCATTGCTTTCCTATCTGTTTCAAGTTGTTAAAGTTAATATTATTTTAAAAGGGTGAAAATCTCATGCTGGTTAAATATTGTTTATTGAAATGCTTGGGTCCAGAAGTGCTTTGGATTTTGAAATATTTGCATATATATTGAAGGCTCTACAAAAGTTCGTGGAAAATATGTATTACAAAAATACTTGGATTTTAGCGTTTTTTGCATCAAAATGAGCTGTTAACTCCATTTCCCAAAAACTCTCTGAAGTGCCCTCAGGCAGGAGACATTTTGGAGGTTTATTTATGCTACATAGATATGTACTAACCCTACCTTGGAGGTCATTGCATCTAATATTTTTGGTGCTGTGCTTCTATTATGACCTATCTCAAGAGGCCAGATTTATGAAATGGTATCACGTCAGCACTGAAAGTTTTAGATTTTGGAACATTTTTGTTTTTAAAGAGGTAGTCAACCTGTTTATTAATTTTAGAAGTAGTATATATAGGGCCAGCCACAATGCTTGATTGGCTTGTCCACTTCAAGCAGGATCCCATGTGAACACCAGTTTGTGTCCCGATTGCACCACTTTCCTTTCAGCTCCCTGCTTGGGGCCTGGGACGGCAGCAGAGAACGGCCCAAAGCCCTGGCACCCTGCACCTGTGTGGGAGACTTAGAGAAGGCTTTTGGTTTCTGGCTTGCAATTGGCTCAGCTCTGGCTGTTGCAGCCATTGGTGAGTGAACTAGCAAATGGAAGATCTTACTCTGTAGATCTGCCTTCCAATTAAAACAAACAAGCCAACCAACCAAAAAACTATGTATAATGATATCCTCAATGTACTGCAAGTTCTTTCCGAATCCTGCATGTGTTAGGATAGCAAGTTCCTTCTCCATTGTTTTTAATGAAGTGATTGCTAGAACTGCTTCTCCTTTTTTCCTAAATAAGATATATACAACATAGATATGTATACATAATTATATGTATATATTTATTTGAAATGCAGAGTTAGGGAGGGAGGGAAATGAAAAACATACAGAGAAAAAGATCTTCCATTTGCTGATTCACTCCCCATGTGGCTGCTGTGGCCAGAGCTGGAGCAGTGAGCAACCAAGAGTTGCTTCCAGGTCTCCCACATTGGTCTGGACCCTGGTATCTGGGCCATCTGCTGCTGCTTTCTCCACCTCGGAAGTGGAGCGGCCAGGACCTCATACCAGCACCCATTTAGAATACCAGCACTGCAAGTGGTAAATTAACATGCTAACCCCACAGTACTGTACTTTAAAAGTCAGAAATAAATGCTGTTTCAGATAAGAATCAGTGTTATTTGCAGGAACCCATGTTTTATGAAGATACACTGACAATATTAAAGATTCTAAGGCATTTGGACACTTGCGGTGCCCACATTCAGTAGGCTTTCTCACCTCACTGCCAATATCTGAAATTGTCTTAGGCTGGTGATTCTAGCAGAGCCCAGCCTTGACCAGAACTGTTCCTCAGTCCTCAGGAAGTGAAATGTTTTCTGATGTGTATGAAGGTTACAGTTCTGTTTTTTCCATGAACTAGTGAGGGAACACAAGAATACTCAGAGAAATCTGACCTTCTGTGTGTCCCAAAAGGAGCTGTCCTGTTTGTATTTCTTGCTATTCAGTATACTTAACAGATCTGTATTTTAGATTTCCTAATTGTTTCCTTTCCTCTCTTTCCTGCCCAGTGAAAATGATATTACAGGTGTGTTGGACCATACCTTTTGTGTCGAACATAATGCATATGGTGAAATTATCCAGCATGAACTTAAACCAAATGGCAAAAGTATCCCTGTCACTGAAGAAAATAAAAAGGAGTATGTCAGGTAAACACTTTTATGTTGTCAGTGATGAAGGGTTTTTTTCTCCAGAATGGCAGTGGATAAAACGTTTAATTTTTCATGATTTTGACGTAGTTGAGAAGGATGTATGCCCATGTGAACCACTGATTAGCATTGGAGTGGGGAGGGTCCAGGAATGGGAGAATGCCAATGAGACAACTCTCATTTTTTGTTGATGAGACTATCTTTTTTTTTTCTTCTGTATCTGGAGGAAGTGGGGAAAGAGAGGGGAGAGGGTCACTCCCAACAGCCCAACTGCATCAGTACCCGGGAAGGCCACCTGGTGTTACCTCAGGGTCCCCAACGTGGAACATGTTATGAGGATACTGATGTGTGGTTTTGAATATTCTAAAAGGCTGTTGATTTTATTGCTCCGTGGTTGAGAAAATCCTTCCAAAGTCCATTAGCTGACACAGTATACCTTAGAGTCTCAATTCGCCAAGATACTTGGTGTCAAAGCTTGATTGGAAGAACTGTCCAATTTGTTCTGCCCTGCGTGGTACTAGACATTCTGTGCAGGCCTCAGTGAACTGGTTGTCATGTGCCCCATGAATATGAGCATGCTGTCCGCCGCATAGGCCTCAGCAGCTGTGGAGACCCAGTTCTGACACACGTGTGGTCAAATCCTGTGATTTTCACCATGGTTGTTCTGAGTCCAGTGATCCAGTTGAGGGTATCCCCAAGGAAACCTCACCAGAGGTGACCCCAAGCTGACTCCTGTGTGTACTAGTTTAGAAAAGCAAATGTCAGTAACAAATTTGACAAGATTTGTGAGACAGGTTTCACTGGATGGATAGATTAATAAAAACAGTCCATGTGTAATTGCAGGCCGTGGGCGAGAGGTAACGGTGCACAGCTGTAGTTCCGTGTGTTCTTGTTGAACATCGTCTCATCAGGGTTTTTACAGTATCTAGGAGAGGACTGACCGGCTGTCAAAAGCTGCCTGCTGTTGGCTTTCATTATCACTTCCAGATTCCTAACACAACACTCTCTTCTTTTCCCTTCACAAACTTCCACCATACATAAACAGTGTACCCAACATACAATTATATTTTCAAGTAAAACCAGAAAAATTATGATTTTTTTTTGATGAATGAGCACTATGTTGTGGTTATTGGTGTGTATGCTTAAGTTTATAAAGACATTTTTATCAAGAAAGTTCCTTAGGGATTTCTCAGGTTTGATGCGGCTCCTGTTAGTGGAGGGTTACCACTTGCTATCCATATTGGATTGTCTTACAGTGGAGGCTCCATTTATCCCCTTAGTCTGAACTTCTTCTGGACTTCAGGCTGAAGTCTTTCTGCTGGATGCTTGTGTAGTGCTGTGTTACTTGAGGGAGAAATACATAGTTATTTCTAAACCTAAATGTATGTGGTCCTGTGAAACTCTTACCGCACATTGCAGGCTGTATGTGAACTGGAGGTTCTTACGAGGCATTGAGGCTCAGTTCCTGGCCCTACAGAAGGGATTTAATGAGGTCATCCCACAGCATCTGCTGAAGACATTTGATGAAAAAGAATTAGAGGTTAGTACATTCATGCTATTACATCATCTCGTGAAACAAAGGACTGACTCTTTTCTCAGTTTTAGAGAAAGTTGTATTTCTGGTGCTTTTAAAATTTTGTGGTTCAATGCTGTGAGAATTCTTTTTATAGTTTGGAATTTCTAAATGAGCAATCTCTTATGTTTAAATGTTGTGAACATTCTTATTTTTTCATGTTGTCCTTTTCAGAACAGATTTCATGTCTAACATATGTTTTTTAAATGCTTTTTTCCTGTTCCCTGATAGAGTGGTTATTGTCGTAAAGAAAACCTCATTTCCTGGTGCCACTATATTGAAATTTATGTGGAGAAGACTTTAGCTCCGATGGGTTTTCACTAAATTGATTTACAAGAAAGTATTTGGTCAACAAAGTCATAGAAGAAATAATTAGAACACTAACCATTTAACATCTCTGTATTTTATTATTGTTATTCTTAAAGATTGATTGATTGATTTGAAAGGCAAAGTTACAGATTTACAGAGAGGCAAGCCAGAGAGAAAAGTCTTTGTCCACTAGCTCACTACATAAATAGCTACAGTGGCTGACACTGGGACAGGTTAAAGCCAGGAGCCTCAGATTCCATCCATGGGTGCAGGGACCCAAGGACTTGGGCTGACTTCTGCTGTTTTCCCTGGCAATTAGCCGGGAGCTGAATTGAAAGTGAAGCAGCCAGGATCCGACTGGCAGCCTTATGAGATGCCAGCATCACGGGCATGTGCTGCACTGTAATGCCGGCACTTTGTTTCCTCATAAGGCTGATTCTTCAAGCATTTCAGATCTGGTTTTCTATTTCATAAATCAAATGTATCTGAATATTCTGCTGAACTGTTTCAAAAAAATGTTTGGGGTCGGCACAGTAGCATGGTAAGTTGAATGTTAAGCTGCCTGTGGCACCAGTAATTCCCATATGAATGCCAGTTCCAGTACTGGCCACTACACTTTTCATCCAGCTCCCTGCTAATGGCCTAGCAAAGCAGCAGCACACAGCCCAAATTCTTTGGCATCCCCTTACAGCCAGGTGGGAGACCCCAAGGAAATTCCTAGCATAGACTGGCCAAGTGGGCCAATGGATGGGAGCTGTCTGTCTCTGTGAAACTCTGCGTTTGAAATAAAATAAGTCTTTTTTTTTTTTTTTTTTATGATGTTCTACCAAAGGTCCTGGATTGAATCGTTATATCCTCACATCTGTATGATTAAATTATTTGTAGCAGAGTGGCCAGAAGGAGGAGAATGTAGCAAGAATATCATCTGGTTTTCATCTGTTTAGACAATGATTGTGGAATTTGGTCTTGTAATTGCCACTACTCTAAGGAAAGGAATTTAGGTGCTATCTTTTGTATTAAAAGCAAAAATCCATAGTTTTTTCGTTTTTTTTTTTTTTTTTTCCTGGTGTCTCTGAAGTGTGGCTTGGATTCAACAATGTTTAAGGGCTCCACAGTAGCTTTGTCAGGTGTTTTGTTTAGTAGCAGTTGGTTTAATATGTAGTTTCCACTACTAACAAAGCCTTATAATTTTAGGAAAAAATATTACTAGTGTTGTACTGTATTAACAGGATTTATTACATAAAACTGAGGGTTCACCAGTTACATTTTATTTTGCACATTGTCATGATTCAGTGTCATAGCATGTTAGGTTGGCATTAGTGTTGGTCTGGGAGCCTAGGGAGACATGAGCATTGATAATATCAATGTGGTTTTGACTTTGTTCATCTGTGCCGAGCCTGCATGAGGCTGCCAAGCAGAGCTCTCTGTGTGTTCATGTAGTTTATGTTGAACATGATTTTAAGATTAATCACAGTGAATCATAGCTGATTCATAAGTGCTATTTACTCAGCACACATTCTGTGGGTTGCTGGGCACCATGGGTTGTTTTCACAGGAGCTAGTGAAACAGATGGGGTTGCTTCCCTGTGACAGCAGGGAACTTCTAACCGAGGGAGTGAGCTGGGCTGCCAGGGTAAGATGATGCAGGTCTGTGGAAGGCACATAGGAACTGTATTTAATCTTTCAACTTGAACAAATTGTAGAATTCTGTTATGAAATTAAGAAACAGAATTCTTTGGTCTCGTCCACTCCAGCGCGGTGGTGGTTCTGGCCCTCTAGAGGAGCCTGCAGTAAGTAGTTGCCTGTGGAGTTCTTAAAATCTCCCATCTTCCCACCCCCAATGCCCAGAATTGGCATCTCTGGGCACAGATGTAGGGTGTGGACTTGAAAAGCTTTCCAGATGATAGTGATGTATAACTTTGAATTTAAAAACCACCAAAATAGGGCCAACACTTCAAATTCTGAGTAATGTAATAAGGAATTGAAGGTGTGGCTTTGGTTGCCATGGGTACTGACTTGTGTAATGTTTTGACAGCTCATTGTTTGCGGACTTGGAAAGATAGATGTGAATGACTGGAAGGTGAACACCAGATTGAAACACTGCACGCCAGACAGCAACGTGGTCAAGTGGTTCTGGAAAGCTGTGGAGTTTTTTGATGAAGAGCGGCGAGCACGATTACTCCAGTTTGTGACAGGGTCGTCTAGAGTGCCTCTCCAGGGCTTCAAGGCATTACAGGGTAAAAAAGGCTAGGGACAGACATGCCGCTGGGCATCACCCCTGGGTTGGGCTGGGCTGGGGGTGGGAATGACAGTGTTTGGTTAAGATGGATATTTTACAAACCATGTGTTTATGAACAGATTCTCTTTTCACTCTGTGTCTTACCTGGAACTCTCACATCATGATGCCTTCTTCTCCTTCCTTCCTCTTGTTCCTCTCCCAAGAGCCTTTTCTGCGGGGTTCTCTGTGATTGTAGTGAGTGCCGCATGTTAGATTGCACTGTACGTGGGAATGCTCTGCCTTTGATCTTCTGGCCACTTCGCTTTGAATTCTGTTGCACATTGTTGTAGGGGAAATTTTCCACTTTCATCTTCACAACTCATCTTGGCAAAACATCTACCCACCTGGATGCCTCTCCTGTCTCCTTTTCATTCTTTCTCTTAATAGAATCAGACATGAGTCACGGAAGCCATCTGTCTGATCAGAGCCCGTAAACCATTGCATGACAACCATTTATTTACAACCACGTTCCATTTTAAAGAATTGTTTCCTTGGAATAGCTGTTTAATTTTTGGATAAACTGGTAATACTGCTAATAACTGCATCCTGGGTGGCAGCTGCTTCCTTTACCTTGTCAACTGCCGCTGCTGGTGACGCATGACGCACAAAGCCCGGCAGGTGCAGGTTTCCGCAGTGTCGCACACTGTGTGGGCTCAGCCTGCCGAGTGATGTTTACCGTCTCATTTTAGAGAATACCTGGCTGTTGCAGAGGCGTAATGGGGCTGCAGTGTCCTGCAGCTGGTTGTATGGATTTCCATGTTAACTGGAATTGATGGCATAGGCTGTTAACCTGTGCTGTCTGCCCAGTTGGAATCATGAAATCTAAATTTGCATTAGGTTGCCATTTTTTCAGTTTTTGCATATGTAATTTCAGCTTTCTCTCTTTTGGGATATTGACTTTCTGTAAAAGATGGCAAAAGGATTTCAGTTTTGAACTATTTCTGAAATGCCAGCATATTAAGAAATCCAGCCGTATCCAAGAGCAATTCTGCTTTCAAACGACGAGTCCTTGCTGCTGCCTTTGGGTCGCATGTGTGGGCTTGCCAGCTTTCCCTGTCCATGGACCCTGTGGTTTTGGTTCCACTCTGAGCCGAAGATTTTACAGCCTGGTGATTGGGCCTGCAGTGACATGACCCACGTTTCCTTCGCTTGCAGGTGCTGCGGGCCCGCGGCTCTTTACCATACACCAGATTGATGCCTGCACTAACAACCTGCCAAAAGCCCACACTTGGTGAGTTACTGTGGCTGACCCCTACCCCTACTCTGTGTTCTTAGGGGAAATACTTGATTATTCATCATTGTTTGAACTAGTAAATAAAGATTTTTTAAAGGAGGAATGAGAAGCAACTTTCACGTGATTTTATTCAGAAATTAATAGTTTCTGTGGGACACAGCAGTGTGGCCATTGCCAGTGTACATTTGCTAGACATGTCTACTTATTTTGCGTGAACTGTGTAAAATGTGGTTTTGCTTATTCACAGCTTCAATCGAATAGACATTCCGCCCTATGAAAGCTATGAAAAGCTCTATGAGAAGCTGCTAACGGCCATCGAAGAGACATGTGGCTTTGCTGTGGAGTGACGGACTTCAAGGACTTACCTGGACGCTATTTATACCCCGGACCGCCTCCTTTTCAGCAGAATTTGAAAGAATGCTGAAAAACAGGAAAACCTCCCTCCCTGCTTAAATTGTTTGTAGGACACTGTGAGGGGAAAGGACAATTCTGAAATTCCTTTTCAAGGAATAAAAGGTCTTTATGCTTTGCCATGAGGCCAGATTCAGCTGCTATTTAAAATTAATATCTTGAACCTAAAGAATGCTGGCTTTTCCTACATTTCCAGAGTTAGGCAGTATTCTACACTTAAAGACTACTACTATTTTTGTAAAAGGTAATCTATTCAAATTGCTTCAAAGATTTCACGTTCTCAAACATCAAGACAACTTCAGTCGGTACAAGTCACATTTCATTTTGATCAAATACATGATTTTGAACAGCTCCTGTACTTGTTCTTTATAAAAAAAATAATAAAGTTATTTTGAATTATTCTACCTTTATAAACAACTGGCTAAAAGAATCATTATCTTTAAGAAGTTAAGCCATTTACATGTTTGTGTTTTTCTATAACAGAGCATTATATTTTGCATTATATATGTTTCAGTCTAGCCTAAGTGGGTTGTTTTTATATTTTTAAAGCACGAATTTCCTGGAGTTCAGCTGTGTCATTTTGGTTGTCAGATTTCTAATGCAACCATGTGGTCTAAATTTAATAGTTTATTTGCTGCAGTAAGATATGTTCAGGGGCTCCATTCTTAAATAACTTTTTTAAAAAACCCAATATTTCTCTATTAATATGATCATGTATTTTGGCTTTAGCTTTCATTTTAAATTGCTGCATTCTGCTAGCTCTGTGGAGCGTGTGGACAGGACAGGGTTTTCATCCCTCTGCTGGGTCAGCTTACCTTCATATGTATGTATACTATTCCTGTAAACCAAAAAGTCTCTGACAAACGCACCTAATTTATACTTCAGTTGCAGTGTATATTTCTATCAAGTAAAACATCCTGAAACTTTGTTTAGATGCTCAATCTTAATTTAAAATCATGAAAAAGGAAAAATGTTGCTCTAGATTGTTCAGTAAGCTTAGAAAACAGCTTGTCCCTGCCACAGTGAGGTGGGAAGAGTGCAGGGGGAGCTGGACAGGGGATGCGTTACTTAGGATTGATGGGCTAACGTCGGAGGTAAGGGAACCAGTTGCTTTGGTGTCAGGCTGTACAGTACGTTGCGTAGTCCAGAGGCAGCCTAAATGTGGGGTGAGGAATTGGAAAAATGGGAAATTGTGGTTGGATTCCTACGTTCAACCGTCCAAAACGCATACTTTTTTTCCACTTCTGTTGAATATGTAATAAGAAGTGAACAGGTCCTCTGTGTTGTCTCATGTGACTGAGCAGTTTCTGTGTTGTTGAAGCCGAAGGGTTCCTCAGAGCACCTCAGGAGTAATGGCTGCAGAGAGGAGGGCAAGGAGTTTGAGTAGGGGGTGCTTCAAACTGCCCAGCCCCTGTACCCAGAGCGGCTCTAGTTAATCGCCACTAAGTTCTCATTGGGCAAGTTTGGGGAGGGAGATTGGGGGAGTTAAAGAAGTGGAAATTTTGCTGCTTTGAAAAAAAAAAGTTAACTACTTGTGCAGTTTCTCTAAGTTCATTTGGGCACATTCAACTGCTACTTATAGTAAGCTACTTACAGTCCTAACTGCAGTGCTTACACGAGCCCTTTTCTCCCAGTTTTTGCATCGCATTCTTGGTTGTATTAACGGGCATCTTGAAGTGTACAGCAGTGGCTTCTGTGTCTTTCATTATCAGTAATTCTTAGCTTTCATTATAGCACCTTTCTGTTTCAGGACCATCTCTCTTCTGTCTTAAAGCACTAGCACAGTTTGTGCCTACTATTAAAACCTTTCAGTAAAACTACATGGTGAACACTTTCTCCAAGTCCTAGTGGACAGGGATGCAGTTAGGATGCAATGCTACGGTCACTGTAAAGCAGGCAGATACCATCGCTAATGAGTGCCTTTTTAACTTCAGAACTTTGATAGAGCTTTAAAAGAAATTACCCTCCAACACAGTCTGTATTATCACCTATGTGATACATGAAAACGTGATTTCAGTTTCAGAATTAGTTATTTGCTGATTGCTTCCATATAGGTGCTAAGCAAACTAATCCCCAAGATGTCATCCAATTTTGGACTTGCACTTCATGTTTAATGTGAATATTTATTTCCACATGTCCCTCTTAACCGAGTTTTTTCTTATCCTCCCTCTAGTTCTGTTATTTCAGGTATGTGATGTCACCTTCCCATGTGACTGCCTTTCCGCCATGACTGAGTGCTTAATTATGAGCAGTGACTGCTGTGTAGAGCTCACATGCAGTGTGGAGGTGAGTCTGTCCAAGGGCTGTGTGTCTCCGAGTTTCCAAGTGGTGCCGTGGCTAGTGTAATTTTGTTTGCACATAGTTTGTTGCCCTGGATGGGCTCATTTTGTACAAGTCTTTTTTTTTTTTTCTTGTATTTACAGTCCAGAGCACACACAGGTTTCCCTTTCACATACAAGGTAATGACTTCATGTTAACACTAACTCTGCTTTGAGCTTCAGTGCGGAGTCTGGTCCCAGCAGCTGCTTCTGCTTAAGGGGAGCACGTGCCGTTTACGGTCTTTAACACTCTTGTGTTAGGATGATGATTGTACCAAACACTGAGTTGTTTTACTGCTAGATGTACTTAGTTCACTTTTTGTAATATTCTTCCTTTTCTCAAACTGACTTAAAAAAAGTTTTATCATTTTCATTGTATTTGTATTTATTACAGAGTGTTTTAGCTTTGATATTTGTATTTTTACTCAGTTGTTACATGAGCTTTATCAATAACATCTGTATAAATGGTTTTTAAAATTAACTATTGTATGTGTCCATGCGGTGTTGAGCAATAAAATGAATGCTGTTTGCACTGCCACAGCATTGTTTTTAAAGAATCGGGAGTTTGTAATTGCTTTGAAAAAGCTGCAGACTGGCTCTAAGAGGCTCAGCTGGAGAGCTGTAGAACGGGAGCCTCAGGAACGCATCTTCCTGAACTGGGGCCCTTGCACAGCTGTGGCGAGCTCAGGGCACTTCAGTGGGAAGGAGGGCACGGCACTGGCTGGCACTGGCTGTTGACGGCTGTGTAGTGATGGAGTTTTGAGGTTGGTCAGAATGGTTGGTGGTTTGTTCTGCAGCCATGTCTGTTAGGGCTTGGAGGGTGGAGCTGTGGGCAGGGCCTCACATTTGGCATTCCCCAGTGAAAAGCAGAAGCAGTGGGCAGGAAGGTTTACGGCCCACAGCTCTACGTGCCAGTGGGTGCAAGTCCAGCTAGATATGCGGGTAGAAGAGGAATGGCTGATGTGTGTGCCTACAATGTGGCCTGCCAGCAGGATGGAGCCACCAGGATGTGCCATGTGAGTAGCAGTGGTACATTATTCAAAGGGGAAATGTAGTCATTTATAATCTCATTTTTTACTTCATTTTATATTGCCGCATTTATTGGTTTTTACTTATAGTTTGAAGTTTTAGTACATTAAAGATTTTTGGTGTTGTAATCCATAAATTACTCAAAAGTTTCGCTTGACTAATATGAGAGGTCTTATCTGCATGTGGGTTCCTGTCATTCACTGCATGGATCTGTATGTGACGTGCCAGATGCCTCCGACAGGACGTACAGCACACAGCAAGGAAGGAGGCAATTACCCAGAAAGGGCGAACACCGCCTTAACACTCCTACTAAAGCACACAGACCAGATTTTAAAGTTTGACTTTAAAAATGTTTCTGCCCTTAATGTGACTTGTTCTCTTCATCCACAAGTATTTGCAGTGCCCTTTCTGTGTGCCAGGCTCTGGGCTAAGCTGCTAGAAAGCTTCCAGACTGTTCCCAGCCTCTGTCTTGGTTCAAGCTGAAGTACCCTAAACTGATTTGTGTTCAGCAACAAGGTTGATCAGGATAAGACACATGATCAAATCCCGTAGCTTAGCAAGGACCTAAGTCCAACTTGGTGATAAAAACATTGGTTTGACTCCAGAAGAATCTGTGACCTTTGCCTCCGTGATGCCTCAAATTTGGTCACTCTGGAATCAGGCAGATCATCTTTTTTTTTTTATTGGAAAGGCGGATATACAGAGAGGAGAGACAGAGAGGAAGATCTTCCATCCGATGATTCACTCCCCAAGTGAGTGCAACGGCTGATGCTATGCCGATCCGAAGCCAGGAGCCTCTTCCGGGTCTCCCACACAGGTGCAGGGTCCCAAAGCTTTGGGCCATCCTCAACTGCTTTCCCGCGCCACAGGCTGGATTAGAACAGGCGCCCACATGGGATCCAGGGCGTGCAAGGCGAGGACCTTAACCACTGCGCCCCCAGGCAGATCATCTTAAGTGTGCGTGTTCATGCTACTATGGCAAAAGGAAAAAAAAAATTGTCTGTGGAGGGGACAGGGACAGGCAAGGTGTTGTGGCATAGCAGATCACACTGCCCTGGCTGGTGCAATTCCAGTTGAGCTTCAATTAATGCACTTGGGAGGCAATGGATGATGGCCCAAATGCTTGAACCCCTGGCGCCCAAAGAGCCAGGTCGTGGTTTCAGTCTGGTCAGCCCTGGATGTTTGGAGGGATTTGGGGGAATGAAGGAGTGAATGAAGATCTCTTTGCCTTCCAAAAATAGTTTTTTAAGACTTGAATTGCTTTAAAAACTTGCCTTCCTGGTCTTTCCGTTATTGTCGTTTGCAGTTGTGAGCAGTAGGGGTTTGGTTCTCGCAGCAGGCGTCTCACTGCAGCCCTTCACCACTGACCCTGCATCCGTATAATTATATCAGTTTCTAAATAATGTTTGAAAGTGTGAGGATGAGCAAGCTGGCTTCAGGTAACTCTCTCCCTGTAGCAACCGAATCTCAGCATCTTCTCCTTGCTGCATTTGTCATCTTATTTGCTGTTTACCAGAAGCCTGAGGTGGGTTCAGAGTTCATGGAAAATGCACTTAAAAGATGTTTGCTTTGGTGCAAATTTTTTGTTGTTGCAATCTGTGTAGCTCATGAGAAAACCAGACACATTTTCCATGCGCTTATTCCAGGTCCTCATGGTGCTTTTATTTTGGTTCTTCTAAGATTTATTTACTTGAGGGAGCTATTGATCTTCATCTGCCGGCTGCCTTCCTGGATGCCCTGAGCCGAAGCTGAGCCAGGCTGCAGTCAGAGGCAGGAACCCCCATCCAAAACTAAAGATTCTTAATGTTAAAGTTGCCTAAGCAAATTGGTTAAAGTATGTTTAGCAGAAAGTTGACAATCTGCCACTCAGAATCACATGTACTGTTATTGTATAAAGCTGGTCAGTTTTTAAAATAGCATACTTTATAGTTTCAGATCTACCCATTTCACTCAGGAATACACTGTAGCAATCTTTCTGTTTAGGTCCACTGTACCTCTCCACAGCCTAGATTCCAGTTCTTTCCTTGCTGGCCTCACCTCATGCATTTCTCTTCGGCGTTTGCTGCCTTGTCAGTGTGTGACAGTTGTTTGCGCGTCTCTCTTCATGGTGCCCTGAACTTGGCTGCGTCATCAGGTCTTCACAGAAAGCCCTGCCTGCTGGTGCAGCCTTCTGTCAGCCGTCATTCCACAAGGGCAGCACCGTGGGCCATGGAAGTGGATCTTCACCCACTCTTTCCTCCAGGACGGTCGGCTCTCACCCCTTCACACCTGCACGGGCCCTGGGGACTCTCATCTTTGCTGCCTTCTCTGTGCCCCCATGGGGCATTAAGCTCACTGCCAGCTCTGTGCTGCTCCTCTCTGGCTTTCATCAACAGAGTCGCCGTATCTTCAGCTGTGTGTAAGTCTTGGCTTTCACCAAAGGATTCCGCCACTGAGTGTAGTTCTGCTTGGGCGGGGCCATTTCCAGTGCACTGTGGCTCCTTCTCACCTGTGGTCTGCAAACTGGCTCTCCAGCCCCTGCGACTGTATCTCCTAGAAAGAAGCTGTAGCGCAGCAATTTTCTCATTGTCCAGTCATGCTGGCCAGACCCATATGTGCAGTGCACTGGGGCTTAGCCCTGGAGCCCAGTGCTAACGGCCAGCCTGTACAGTGCTAATTCTTTGGAATGAAGGCGCATTCTTGACCACAGACGGGGTTTTCTCTACTCTGTTGCTCTCTGTTAACTACTCTGGCACAAACCTCATTAATAAAGTGAGTACCGTGAGTCTTGGTTTAGGTCAGGAATTCAAATCCAGTAGGCTTTAAGAAAAGAATTTTTATTTTAAAAAGTAATTGAATACATAAAACTTTTTAAAATGATTCTTCGGTAGAGACTGTTGAACTTGGTTCTAGCTCTGCCCTGGTGAAGGTCTCAAGGGAAGGGACTCTTACTGTACTGAAACGAAGCCAGCTGCAGCCGCGACCGGAAGCGTTCGGCTTCCAGTTCCCGGAAGAAGGCGTCATCGTCATTCTGTGTTATCATGTGCTGCAGCTGCTGGATCTCTCGCTCCATCTTCGCTCTCAGCTCCCTCTTCGCGTTATGCAGCATCTGCAAGACAGCACGCGTGGGCCTGTGGCTCCAAGCCGATGTGCGGGCCCTCGCCTCTGCTGCCCCGCTCCACCCTCCAGCACGGCAGGCTCCTCTACAAGTTTCCTAATTGAACAGCACCTCTTAGGAGACCTCAGCAGGTGATTACAGTGTCTTGAATCACAGGTACAATTCTTCATTAATAATCTCTTAAAAGGCGTAACATCATTTCTATCCCCTAAAACCAAATGAATTATTTCCACCCTATTCAGTGTTACCTGGGCCTGGGATTTCTCTCTGGCTTTAAGTTCCTGACGTTCCTGCGATATGGCTTCTGCCAGTAATGAGAACTGTTCATAAAGGAAAAAAACACAGCAGTTTGTAGCTCAAACTTAGTAAATCTTACAGCAAATGTTCACAGGTTTAAAATCTTTACTTCAGTGGAAATGAGACAGTATCCACTATGTGCTAAGGCCAAGCACTAGCTTAATTTCTAACCTGTCAGTGCCAAGTTGTAAGTTAGTATGTGGAGGTGAGGTGCGACACTGGTGTGCGGGAACAAGCACACGGGAACACCAGCACGCAGCAGCGAGCCCACCTGGTCCTTGTAGTAGTTCTCCAGCGAGTCCAGTTCGTTCTGGTGCTGTCTCTTCTCTTCATCCCGCTTTTCTTTAGCATAGTTTCTTAGGTCTCGTAATCTTTGCTTCTGAATTTGTAAGCCTTCTTCAAACAGTTTCTTAAAGATCTGTTAATCACAAAAATAAAATGCTAAATTTTCACTGAGTATCATCATTCTGCCCAGCTAGAGCTGTATATTTCATAATGTTTAAAAAACTTTAGGGAGATATTATTCCCATTCCATAAAACTAGCCCTTTCAAAATGCACGCATTTAGTAGGCTATACTTGGAGTTGTGCGACTATCACTTCTGAATATCTTCGTTACCCCAAAAAGGAACGCTTACCTCCTTTTGTAGTCACACCTTCTCCCCTCCTTTCCTTTTAGCCCCACCCCACGAATCCATTTTCTGCCTATTCTGGGCATTTCTCTAAATAGGATCACATAGTATGTGGCCCAATGTATTTGGCTTCTTAATCAATACTTTCATTTTTTACTGCCACATATTCTTTATCAGTAAACATTGCTTATCCACTCATCAGAAAAGAGCACTGGGCTTATCTGCTTTTTTGGTTTTTGTAAATAATGCTGTAAACCATGTCTGTACAGCTTTTTGTTTGGAGGTATGCAACTATGCAATACCTTATACAGTAGCTTTTTAAGTGTCTGCCCAAAGCAGTTGTGCCATTTCCTGTGCCCATTTGCCCTCCCTTAGCAAGAATTCTTGATCCAGTACTGGTCCCAATTTGTATTACCTTAGCTCTTTCTAAAGAAAGATACTACTGAGTATTTAATCCAGGTAACTAGTATTACTGCCTCACCCTGGAGCTGAAATGTACCA